ACTTTGTGATTACACAACAAATAAAAATAAATTACAGTAAATTGATTGAAACTAAATTACAAAAAGAGCTTTCACATTTGCAGTAGGGCTTTAAATCAAATATTTAACTTGTGGCAGCATATACAAAAACTTGAATACAGTTTTATAAACAATGAAAAAATTATATAATAATATTTGAAAATTAATATTTATGTATGATGATATAACATTAAGGGTTTTAAGTACATTATTTTTAGCCGTATAAAATTTTATTTATATAAATTTGTACGAAAACTTCTAATTAATTTATTATTTTTTTCCAATATCGAAATGCATACCGTTTGTTTATATAAGTATGTTTATATCAAAATTGTTGGTATATGTATAACTATATCCATGTTGGCAAATATGTTTTATAAAACGTACGTGGACACCATCTACGTTAACGCAGTAATATAATGTTCTTAGAATACGAAATAACGAGTTTATCGATGATAAAGTTGTCAAATAAAAGTATAGGCTAAACTTCGAAATCGTGGGCGCGCCTCGGAACTGCTTCATGACGTCAGCCTCGCTCTGAAATTCTGAATCGAGTTAATTCCATTAAAATTGCTAGCAAATTGTTTAAAATTGAATTGGATTAAATGCGCAAAAGGAAATTAAACGCGTCGAAAAATAGGTGATTGAATACTAAAAGCAATATTTCCCATAGAGTATTTTTATTGTAGAAAACAGATTTAGCATACTTTGCACGAAAAGCTCCTAAATGAAGAGTAATATTATATAAACAGCATTTTTGTCATGTTTTTATATATTAAAAAAAGGAATTAATCGATGCGTTTGCAATGTTTCGACTTATCTAATCAGTAAAAAAACTCCAACAGATTCTTGAAGTTCGGTGCCATTGCTAATATATTTATTAAGTTATTTATTGAAATAGGACTTTAAAACATTACATTAAATAAATACACAAATTTCGACAACAAAGTCAAAATATAAATACAGTAATACAGAGTTGATAATACTTGTTTGGTTAGTATGAACTGTATATGAGGTGTATTTTATGTCTTAATTTTGAGATTCTTCAAATTATTAGAGCTTTGCATCTCTATTATATCTACTCTCTAGATATTTACGATCTTTGCTAGTAATCGTATTGATATTATGTTGATATTATTATTCGTAGTGATATTTAGCGACCTTAACACATCATTTATCCGATTGCAATATCTCTTAAGATCGAACATCATCTATAATTCGCCAATATCGGTTTTGGCAACATATTCGATTTTATTCCATATATGTTCGTTCAGTTCTCGTTTGACACTCGAACGTGTAACATCGTTAAATCTATTAAATTGTAAAATACCGGTTTATTGCGTAACATAGTGCTCGTTCGGTTCACTTGTGCTAGATGCAGCAGAAGATTCTTGATTCTTGATTCTTGATTCTCGACTGACGATTATATTTCTCACAAGTAAATATTACGAAAATATTTCTACATCAAAATTATGTACGACAGAACCTAGTTTTATTGAATCGACTTCTCATGTACGATTGGATACGCGTTTTCCTGAAGGAACTGAGACTGCACGCAAATGCAAAATGATAAACTTATCATAACTGAAAAGGTAACAGATTTAAACTAAGTATTTGTTGGATACTACCATCAGCAGAATTCGTTTCGGTATTCTCAATAACGATTACATATGATCTACGTCCCAAAAATGATTGGAATAAGTATAGAGCTTTATTCCCCAGCTTGTTATACGCATCTAACTATTTTTTTCACAGCATTTAGGGCTTCGACAAATATATAAGAAGACATATTAGTAGTTAAATTAGTATTTATTGTGTTTGAAATATGAATAAAAAAGATATTGAATAGGAAATAATTAAGTTGCGCTTTACAATAATAGATAAAATTGTTAACGGTTAGTGTTGAAAATTGAAGTCACCAAATTATAATAAAAAAAATCATCGCATCTAAACTTTTATAGCACATTTCACGATCGCAAATATTTCGCTCCGACATAGAATATACAATTTTAATGAGTTATGTTATTATGTTAGCAAACAAATGATTTTATAAATAAGTTACTGTATACATTCACTTCCTCGTACTTGACACTACTTATTCATATAAATGTTAAAATCTTTTACAAAGCATTTGAATCCCGGTGCTATAATGAAATTCTCGTTTTGTCAAAAGAAATAGGAGGCGACTTGATTCCTTTCAAGGCAATCTGAAATGAAACGGGTCTTATTAACGGGAATTGTAATAAGAAACCTACATTTGAACATAGTCGTGTATTGATTCACCTTCTGATTTCAGTTAAATAATTATAAATTACAATGACAAAGAATAAAAATGTTTCACATATTGAAAGCACTTTTAATAATGGAAAAAGTTTTTCTTGTACTACGTGCACTTAAATTGATTTTCTCTATTTTTATATACTCGTGCATGCAACAGTATTTAACCCTCAAAAATTGTGACGACTTTGATAATTTGGGCAATTTTTAGAAGAAACCTTCTGTACAACTGGTTACAAAAGCGATAGAATTAAATTAAATGCTGTTTTCGCATATGCACCTATCAATAATTTGCATAAATACCGGTTTAAATATTTTTTGTAATCAATACTTGAAATTGATATATTACAGGAATGAGAAATATGTTGTGAAAAATATCTAATGTATGCATGCTAAATTGATATTTATTATGATCCCATGAATTAATTTTTGATTGAAATAAATTTATTACTACACTATATGTTAGACGAAAAAATCTGTATTAATTATTCAAATGTCACTTGATATAACGAATGAATAAACACTTTCTATATTATGTGATAATACTCATATTGTCACAAACACACATATAATATATATATATATATATATATATATATATATATAAAATTAAAATCTGTCTAAAACCAAATTAATTTATTTCACACTTTGTAAGTGAGTAGTATAAATTTAAAAAAATCATCAAGACATTGTTTCAACTGTTAAATTCGCATAAATATTATAAATGTAAATAAATAATGAATAAAAAATGTTGTAACCATTGTAAAATTTGACAATGAGTGGGATTATATATCAAAAGATGTAAGGTCTTGACCAGATTTACTGCAGAATTGACCTTTAGTCAAAAAATTTATGATATTTGAAGTTTATTATAATTTTTGGCATCAAACAGTTAGGAAGTGCAAATTTTATCATTATTATTTTCTTTATTCATTTTTTACAATGAATAATTACAAGGTTTTACAATGTGTTGAAAACGTTTTATAAAAAATAATATTATAAAAATTAACTTTAAAATTATAGAGTTTTCGTCCGTTAAGTAATACATTTATAATGGCTTGTATAATTAAAAGCATTTATTTAATGTGCCTTTGTACTACATGGAATTTTATTTTTATTTTAAACACATTCTAAAGGAAACACTTTTCGAGCTTTTTCAAACATCACGATATCCTAGTTGTCGAACATGTCATCAAATTTACCATACATTGCACGTACATACCATGTTGCACGATTTCTTGCATTGTTATGTTACAAAAGTATTCACGACGTAAAACATTGAATATATATATATATATATATATATATATATGCATGTCTAATTTAATACATAAATAATATAAGTAGGTACTGTATAACTGCGTTCTCTCGCACAAGTCCTGTGACTAACATTAAATTGTATATGAAAAAATACTTTAACCTCAATTACATCCTGGCGAGTATTTTACTAGCATTAGTATTTTATTTAATCCTCAACAATCGCATATTTTTGTGATAAAGGCGACCATATGTTTATTGCAAATCTGAATATTGTTCCAGCAGAATCACGTAAAATCGTTTGTCCTTCTAACGCCTTTAATGTAATGTCTCAAGGTGAACTTGTTTCCGAAAACGTGGGCTTCGATTAATGTTCACAATATGGTAATTAAGTTAGCAGTAACATAGAAATAATTTAACATGTGTGTGGAAATACGTGCTAAGTTACACCTATGCGTCCATCACTATGTACTTTGTCAAATAAACATAAAAAAATATTCTGCAGTTAATTCCCGAACTTTATCAATCTCTTCATTTTTAGATAATCCTTTATTTAAATTCGTACATGGATAAATATATATGTAACACTATAGCCTTCATCAAAAGAATATGCATAAATGACAATACCTGTAAACAATTCTGTTCTATACATAAGTTGGCAAAAATAAATCGCAAAATTTTGTACCCGGACAAAAAGGTCAACTCAGATTCCATTCATGGTTGACCAGTTTATTTAATTCTTAATGTGCGAAATAAATAATGTATATTAAAATCTATTTCGGGACATTAATATAATATATTCACGACGATGGTTATTTTGTTTGTGTCAACTGATATAAAATATATAATCAACACATTTTAGCCAATAGATATTTAATTATTATATATGATATTGGATGATAATCTTGCAGTTCTTCTTCATTTACTTATTGCTGTTTTTAAAATTTGTAGATTTATATTCCAATTAACTTACACTCTGCTAAATATATTTACATTTCTATCTCTATTTTATATCAATTATAACATATGTGTACAAATAATAACCATATTTTAAGCATAATATCAAATTAATATTTAAAATATGTAATGTTTAAGAGAAAAATCAGATAAACATACTTTCCTATTGGGTGAAGCAGTATAATCTAGAAATATGTTTGAATTAAGCGTGATCTTTTTTACTGAATATCCCGAATTTCCGGTATATATTATATGCCGATTAGAATTTTGAGCTAACTTTAAACGTTAAAAATTCTTTTGCTTTTCTCTAACTATTCCGCTGAACCTCATCTGCCTACAAAGAAAGTCGAATCGTGTGTTTAATACATCAGACATCCATCTAATAAGGCCTATTTATGTTACAACATTCGATGCTTTTATGTAATAATTTGCAACTAACACCGTGCATACGTTAAACTTAAGAATGAACTTGAATTCCCACCAGCCCCACAATCAGTGAAAAATAATGCCGGACTGCTGGCGATGGAGTTAAAAAAGTGATTTACGATTTTTACCGATGCCGCATGAAGGAAGTGATTCGAAGTCGAGAAAAGTGCGATAAGTGCGATTTGTGCGATTTGTGCGATTAGTGCGATTAGTGCGGTCCGGAAACTTCGATGCCCGACGTCGTCATGAGCGTCGCCGACGTCGAGCGCGGCGAATCATTTCGATCGGACGAAGCGACTGGAGGAAATCAAAAGCCGCGCGTTTCATTTAATAGAGACGTGCATGTCAAACGAATAGGTTAGTCTTCTTCAGGAACAATATCACAATTCTATTAAAAATTTACTGTTTCTATTCTGTTTACGCTGATCTTCTCTCCGCTTGCTTGACATTAACTTATTCCATAGCACTAAAACCATGACGGATTCAATTCGTTCGTACACAAATCACCTTATTTCTTTTCACTCGAAACTAAGCAATATAAGACACAAATTCAAAATCAGTTATCCTTTTATTGATATAAGTTGCGTAACGTTATCGTCGTTTTAACATAATTCATAAGCAGTTAAAAGTATATTAATGAACATGTTTCAAGTGTTCATACAAACTTATCTGAAATAGACCGCTAAAAATAAGCAAACTTTGACCTTTGAGTGTAACGGAAAAATACTTCTGACGTGAAATTTAAAATATAAATTTATAAACATGCATGCATAATACTCTCATTATTTTTATAGTTTAACCACCTTTGACCCACAGTCAACTGATGACCTATTTGATAAATTCGCGTGACCTGCGTTAGTCCCAAAAATTGTCACGATATAAAAATGTATAAAGCCAAAATACTTATTTTATTTACTTTTTACTAAACATAATAACTTCAGTAATATGACTCAATCAGATATGTGATATGAAAAGAATCCTTTTGAAAAACCTCGTATGTATGTTATGTACTATCATATATGAGCGATTTGCGTACATACGTGAATAATGATACAAGCCATCGATTGTTTTCAGACGCCGAATATTTTTCATTAATTATGAGTTCAAAGTACTAATAATCATCATGACAACATTGGCCCGAGTTCTTAATGAGAGAACCTCACTTGTCACGTGCGCAAACTGAAACAATAATCATATCTTTATAAGGCAATCGTCCATATACCTACTCGTACACCACCTTTCACCTCGCGAGAGCCCTGATCTTTTCAGATCGAGAATAAGAATTTCATTGTACACTAATATGGTAAACCTGTTAGTCCGAAAGAAGGCACTTTCGTTTCTCGGCGGAATACGTCGATCGCGGCCGCGGTGCGCGCGATTTTAGCCTTTTAAGTCGGATCAGCATAATACGCAATACAACTTGTTTATTGTTATCATTATTGGTAAATGCGAGGTGTGCATTCGGAACGCTATTCTGGTGTTGCGTACATCGAATATTTTCATCTTAAACGTTTAAAATTACGCTAAAAAATTGTTTTGTCAAACCGGAGTCTTTATGTAAGACCGTAACACACAAATTTACATGAAAAAATAATAAAATCATATATATTTGAACAACTAGTGAAGTTAATTTTTATGAGGGTCAATTCGAATAAAGTAGCAAATACAAAATTATTTAGTGAGTTCTTTTTAGCGATAGCGATACTAGATAATTACAGTGATATATGAATGTACAAGTACCATTCGATAAAGTATTCACTTTACGAATAGTGTGTACGAATGAAGTGTGAGGCTGACGTCGGGCAGTGGCGGAAACTATAATATGCATGAGAAACTAATATCTTCAAAAAATTTCATATTCTTTATATAATTTATGGTCAAATATTTTTTAAATAATATATAATATAATAAGTATATTGAATATTCCTCCCTAGGACCTCGTGGCGTAGCGGCTTCACCGAACGGTTCACCGAAAGCGCCGGTCCGCAAACAGCGTTTGGGAAAAGTTTCTGATGAGGTGCTAGCACGAGAGGCTGCCCATGTATTCCGCCAAGCCGATAGCGTGCACTGTCAAGCATTTCCTTCCTCAGGAAACGATAAGTTCTTTTCATTGCCGCTGCGCGGAAAGAAATCCAATTCTGGGGGATCCGTCGGGAGATCCAACTCATTGAAAAGTAATAAGCCGCGGGCATCAATATTTAATATTTTCAAAAAACCCGAATCGACATCTCAAGATGAAAAGTTGTCTCGAAGCAGGCCTGTCGGTAGAAGCAAAAGCGACGTTAGCGACAAAAGGCACGGTGAACTAGTTACTAAGTTACGAAATAAAACTAACAGCGAATCCGAAGACCATTTGCAACCTACGAGCAGTCAGAAAAAGCAGCTGTCCCCTATAATTGAAACCTCGCCTCGTGACGATTATTTCGGAAAAACAAACCCTCTAGATTTACTTAGTGGCAATAAAGAATCTATGACAAAAGATGAACTAATTGCGAAAAAAAGTAAAAGCAAAGAAAATATCAATACGACTTCAAAAAAATTAAAAATTGATAAAACTAAACAAACAAAGATCAAAGATAAAGAAAATATAAACCCCGACACAAAAACAGTTGATACGGTTGATTTCTTGGCTAATAGCAATGCCGCCGATAATATTAAGGAAACTATAAATATACTCGGGTATAATACTGCACAAGAAAAGTCAGAAGAAATGATACATAGCAGTCAGATGCCTACGGAAAGACCGCCGCTAACTAAAGGAAATACTGTAGATTATTTAGTAAAAAAATTATCAAACGAAACAGTATCGCCTTTGCATTTTACCAATAAGCTAATTGCACCAGGAGCACTGCAACACAATAATAACCGACCATTTTCGTATACGAAACCTCTTATAACAGATGATGTAAATATGCGAGATTATCCTTCCGATAATATTAAATCTAACGTTGCAGAACAAATAACTTATGCTCAAGTTATTTGCAATAACGATAGCAATGGAGTTAGTAAGCAAACAGTACACACGAATTTTGCTAAATCCAAAACAAACTCTGACGAGGACGAAGGTTTCGGACATGAGGAGAATAGAAAATTGAACGCGAGGCGTTATCCAAAAACTGAAGAAGCATATTTAAATTTATCTGATCACAATAATGACGTAGATTCGCCCATAACTCCTACACTGAGAGAGTACAGTCCGGACTCTTACAATAACAAATTAAATAGAACTGGATACGAAGAGCGTCTATTCAGACGATTCGATGATTTCGAGTTGCCTGCGCGCGGAACCGCCGATGGAATGGACGCAAAACGAAAAGAGAGCCTAACAGAACCAAATCTGTACCTACCAAATATCAACGATGTAACAGAACTAAGTCATAGAAGAGATTTATTGCAATCGCGAATCAATTCACGCAGGTTAACTGATTTAAATAATATAGAATCCGATAGAGAACCATTCAACAAATATTTATTCAATAAGAATGATTCTTTACCTACTACTACCAAATATGTAACGGAGACAAGGTCGCAATATTATAAGGAGGGCAGTAGAAGTCCAATCGGATTCACAGAAAAAATTGTTACCAGAACACATCTAGACGACGAAGGAAAACCATTCACAGAAAAATCTTACTTGAAAAACGATTGGCCTTACAACAATCTAGAAGCAAATCGAAAATTATTTTTAGAATCACAAATAAACAATGATAATTTTAGTTCAACTTATTCGCCCACATTCAATTATGAAAATTTTTATGAACCAAGGAGTCTGGATTCTCAAATAAGCGATAATTTACATAAAGATGAAAAACACTCGCAACGATTTGCTACACGTTTCAATAAATATTCAAAAGATGACAGATTTCATCAGAACATAGATCACTACAGATCAAATCCGGAGATAGTCTCGAGAGAAGACTACATGTTAAAATCTGCTCAGGGTTCTGGAAAACAAGAATCATATCATAACTCATTGCGACGTCAGAATAAAGAAGAGAGCACCAAAAAAAGGTATAAATACGGCGACATCGTTGAACCCAGTATGAGCAATAGAAAAATTGAGCATGACTCCAGGCATTTTGATTTAGATCGTGAAAAAAAGGATAGGCTAGTCGATTCGGGTATCGAAAATGATTATCGTAGAGATAGCAATGGTGAAAATGATTTTAATAAGTTTTCCGATCGACATTATTTACACAGGAGTAACGAAATGCACAACGGAAGTGAGGAAGATATTAACTCTTCGTTACATATAACTAATGAAACACGAAATGTAGACAATGACTTGATGTACCATAGAGACTTGGATATTTATAAATATAAATATCGCAGTGACGATAATTATCCACATAACGAAACAAATAAATATACAAGCGATGATGGCTACAAAAATTATGATAACGACACTAAAAATAACAGTCGAAACGAATTTGCATACAGAGAAAGAAGTATTGATGATGGTTCCTTCTACGATAGTAAGCTCGACGAGGTTATTAATAAAAAATCAACGAAGTTACGAAGAAATAATCAAATCGACAAAAAAACTTCAAATGAAGATAAGAAGATGAGCAATTTAGATAAAGTAAGCATAACATTCATTATTAAAACAATACCGCTTTATTTTGTTTAAACTAAAATATATATTTTAATATCGATCAGGTTAGACAACTATTTTCTTCCAAAAAACAAAAAAAGGAAAAATTAGAAAGTATGGTAAAAGAAGAAGATCTTAGAGCTCGATACACTGAATATAAGGGCAGCTCTACAGCCCTGGACAAAGATTTAGAGAACAGAATACATGTTTCGGAAAGTGCTTCCAAAATATCTACAGATCCTAGACCGGAAGAAGTAAGAACTACTAATATAATGTTAAATAATGTTTATAATTATTGTATGATTTTTATATTTAGATAAACGATTATGGTAACAGAAGGCGATTGTCGACCCCTAGCCCAACACGCCGCGAGATTTCAAGCAAAAAGAACGGGGGTAGCTGGTTCAGAAGCTTAGACCGGCTAACCAAGCACTCGAAACCGAACGGCAAGGTCTGGTATCAATAAATAACCTAAAAATATCTTTTCAAAAATTTATTAGACATCTTATAAATAATTATTTTTTGATAAATTTTTTTGATCAAGTATTCTTGATTAAAATTTAATAAATTTACAGAATAAGAGTCTCATCGAAACCCTCTTACCCCAGAAGTATCCCTTATCATCGACACCTTCAAGTAGAAACGCATCGCGTTTAAGTAAAAGACATGATTTATCCACTTTATCTGATATGAGACGCAGTCCAATGCCACATAAAAATTTACGATTTTTTGGCGACACCGACTTAGAATCTAACGCTAGCATTTCTAAACATAAAACTAGCACGAGAACCAGACCACCTCTGGATCGATCTAAAAACGTAAAACACTATTCCAGTACTCAACTTCTATCGAATGCTAATAAGGATAGGAAGGTAACATCTTCCCTCAATGCTCTGAACGTAGACAGCAATATAGATGGTAGAAAAAATTTATTATTGAATAGCTGCAATCAAGAAAAATTCAGCAACAGGAATTTGCGTAATATATCTGAAAACCACAACCAGTCTGAAACGAGAATCCACGTGGAAGAACCGATGATTAAGAATAGTTACAACTATAGATACGGCTCTAACAGAGAAAATAACAAATTTACGCAGAATGATCGTAGCGATAGTATATTAGTCAAAAAACCGCCGATGAGCCCCCTCAAGGAAAAAAGAGAAAATGACAATAATACAATTTCTAGAGATACTTTGAGCAAAATGCGAAAATCAAAATCCGACTTGAGGTATTTAATAACATTCATATTCTTCGCCAGTTCAAAACTAATATTAATTATTAAATTTTGTGTTTATAGTGATGGAGACTATCGCAGAAAACGACCTGATATTATGGCTGGTGCAAGTTCTGTGGAAAGCAGTACGGAAGGTGACTCAAGTCAAAATAGTATAGTATATTTGCACGCTGCTACAGGTAAATTGTGACAATTAATTAAAATTCGTCATAGATATTGCTTTAATAATGAATGACATATTTACCAAAATATAATTTCATTAAACGTTTGACAATTAAATTTTTGAATAATAAATAAATAAATTTTGGTTTGAATACTAGTTGGCGATATTCCGGGACCTCGTCGGCGTAATAGACGTTCAGTTTCTAGAGAAGAATTATCATCAATAAATTCTTCAAGACTTCAACCGCAGGTTAAACATAACTCAATGTGATTATATTTTAGACGCCAGTGCATTTTTTAAATAAAATTTTTGTATTCAGGTAAAAACAATATCCCGGTCCATATCAGTGCTCGCCCCGTGGAAACCACGTCACGTACGAGAGGGCTACGACATCAATTATTCCCAGACTCAAAACTATCTAACAAACGGAAGGAATAAGTCGATTCCGCATAATTCAAGCATGAGCAGCCACGATTCAAATCAGAAATATAAATTGCGAAACGATGGCGTTGACAGCAAAACGCTCGGCAGACGACCAAGAAACGATAATAATGAAAAACATTCCTCGATCAATACCTTATACAGAAAACATCGTCACAAAAACAGTCATGAAAGCCTCTCCGACCGAAAGCTGCACACATCGTCAAAATCAGCAACACTCGAAAGGCGTAAAATTGATAACGGCCACGGCGGCTCAAACGAAGCTTTGGGGGCCCAAAGTAGCAGCAATCGCAGAGCGAACATTTCGAGATCTATCTCGATGCCCAGAGATACCGGCAAATCGGCTGGATGGTTTAGAATGACAAAAAATAGTAAAAAAAATTAAGATACTTGATGAAAATATCAAGACAAAGTTATTAATTTAGTGCTAATTTATTGAATTTATATAAATTGGCATTTAAAATCGTCAAAGAACTAGTTCAAGCTATTCATGAATTCAACCAGCATTGTTCTCTTTTGATTTATAATTACGATAAATTTAGAATGATGAATTTTAAACATGAATAAAGATGATTAATTAAAGACTATTGCCCCCGTTACATCCAAAACCTTGGAGCGTATTCTCTTTATTTGGTATTTATACTACTTTTAGTTAGATAGACTTTGAATAACCATTTTTATAAATATCCAAATTATTTTATATCGTCGTAGTAGGTAACGACTAAGCTTGAAAAGTTCATTGATTTATCAATGTAGAAATTAACAATTGCTTTAATAGCTATAAAAATGTGTGCCATATCATATATTCAATAAAATTCTTTTTGTTCATTTATAGAAAGTTGAAATTCAAGAATCTTTGGAAATGAATATATTATACATCGCAAGTAACCTCTTATTATTATCATAATATTCATTATTTTAAATGTTATTTTAAGCGTAAGTAAATATATTTTTGTAATAATATTTAATTTGTATTTCAAATTAATAAAGATTAATACAACTAATTTATATGTGTAAGTGTATGTTATTAACTTTCTGAAAGACGACTCTTCGTGTGATTCTGAATCGTTTGACACAAAAATTGGAAAGTATGCGCATATGTATTTTTTACAAAATTAAATAATCAGCAATCAATAGTTAGCATTAAATCGATTATTTGTCATATCAGATTCATCTTTGTCATATCATGCAACATGCCACTTTTTACCTAGATATTAATTAAGTTTGTAATTTAAAAATTAATTTGCAAATTAAGATTCTATAATGATTCTAATATGATTCCGATAGAGTTATTGGGTTGCTGGGTTGCTGGGTTGCTAGGTTGCTGTCTTTGCTACTAATGCTCTCGAATGACTTCAACTTATTGTTTTCCAAATAATTGCAAAAAATTTATTAGATAGCAGTAAAATTTGTATATAATAAATTTTAAATGCTCCAATGGCGAATAATGTTCAGAAATGAAAGTTTGTTTTAAAATTAGTCTAGATATAAACCATATGAACTTGGTTTACATAGTCGTCCGACAGAAGTCTAAGAAAGATAAGATAGAACTATCTATAGATATTAATTTTTGACGTTTCTAAGTATATTTTAAACATGTTATTGTTTAATTTATTTTTGCCGTCTTCTTAAAATATGATACATATGAAATAATAAATTTATTTGATGGAACACTACATTTATCCGAACAAAACTGAAAAATAGCATTATCAACAAAAAATATTATGTAGACTTTGAACATCTACCTGAAGTCATAATCAGTGATCAAAACGATTAAACTATGTGATATTCATCTTTTCATTAATTAAACATATTAATTTTAAATGCAACTTTCATAAAGTTCAAAGTATAGGTAATGCAAATTATTTGTGAGATTAGCATATAGCTTATCCGAAAACGAAAAACATTGCGCAAAATGTCAAATTTTCAAATGTCTAATGTGGCAGAACCTTCAGTGTATAGTCCAAGCAATCAAAATGCTGCTAATTTAGGTATGGGAAGTACTGCAATAAATATGCCGCCAGCATTACCACCCAGGCCTTATCAAACCCAAAGGTACGGAGGTTGGCCTAGTGGAAGCACATACGGAAGTGGATTTGGAGGCTATGGATATTCTGGCTATAATGGTTTCGGAAGCTACAGCAATTTTGGGAGTTTTGGGCAAGGTATAGGTTATGGCGGAATGTACGGAGGATACAATAGAATGTATGGACCTAATGATATGGGAAATAGGTAAGATTTTGTCAAATAGAACATCAGATATTATGAAAATCTTATTTTAATTGTTTACTTGAGTCTAATTCTTATATTGTATGTTTAGATTCATACAATATGCCGAGGAGTCTTCGAGACCGGCTTTCCAGTCCATCGAGTCTGTAGTTTATGCCTTCAGTGGTATAGCTCAGATGCTTGATTCCACATATATGGCAATGACTACTACATTCCGCGCAATTTTAAGTGTAGCAGATAATTTTGGAAGACTACATTCATTATTTGCTCGATTTTGGTCTACATTTGCATTATTTAGATCTATTAATTGGTTCTATAGAAAGTAGGTGTATCACTATTTAAATACACTTTTAAATACTACATTATCATATTATCATTCTAGACTTTTATCAATGCTTGGATTATCAAAACACGACCCACAAAAAATCAAAGCCTGGGCAGAAGCTTTGAATGGCAATAAGCAAGATGGAGATAAAAATACTTCAAGTTGGCCTATTTTAGTATTTCTAGGTTTTATTACATCTGCGCCTTATATTATGTACAAAATATTTGAAGGATGGAATAAATCAGTTGTGGAGAAAAGTAATTACCATGAATTCCTTTTATCAAATTCAATATATACTTAAGCACTAAATAAAATTTTTGTTTGTAGCGTCAGATCCTTCTACTTGGGATAAGCCTTTACTCGCTTCGGCTTTGTATGACTTATCAAGTTCTAACCCTAACGAATTATCTTTACGTACTATGCAAAGTGTTAAAGTTGCACCACTTGAAATTCAAAATGAAATGAAATTAATGAATACGGGATGGCTTCTTGCCTCTACTGACAACAAAACATCTGGTTTAGTACCTGCTAATTATATACAAATTATCAAAGGCAATGTTAATGCTAATACAACTGATAAAGTTGAGACAAAATAAAGGAAGATTCAGATAAAAATGTAAATATTAATATTAGGCATTTATAACAAATCATGTGCTTTTCCTTGCTCACTAAGATCTTGCTATTATGTTATGGTTGATACTAGACAACTGTATATTAAGTAATTATAAGTACTGCTTTATAAGCAGAAGATATTACTTAAAAGCATTTGTAGCAAAACAAATTGGTTAATTATAAGGAAAGGGTATGGTGAATTTTACAATAATAATGACTGTACTTGTGAAACAAATTTGATAAAAATAAATTGAATAATATATGAAAGTTGCAAAGACGTTTTGATTTTGTTACCTATGAAGTGTTTTGAATTTTAAAGAATCAAATTTAAAACATTTTGCATTTATAAATTTACTATATGTATTTGATCAAAAGGCAGCAGTTTTTGTTTTTGCAAATGTTTTAACATATAATCTTATGTCATCTGCAGAGGTAATTACAATTTGACAGAAATGAAAACAAAATATATCTAAACTAAATATTGCAATAGAATGGCATGATGATTAAAACGAATATAAAATTCATATTAAAGTGTAAAAAAAACTTACCTTCAACTGTATTAAACCTGATTAATTTGTAACATATTCACAACTAGCACAACTTCACTAAATCCACTACGTTACGAAATCATAACAAACGACAAGTTAACAAGTGACAAAGAAACAAAAATTGCAAATACGGGAAGGATGCATTAGATCACATTGATACCAACAGTGAAGATAAAAAAAAATAATGAAAAGAAAAAACTTCGTTTGGCTTATCTTATAAAATAAATTTAAAGTCAGTTGCGCCAATTGTGACTATGTTACAAATTTATTAGATTTATGGTCGCTCCACTCGCGCCACTGGCTCCACTCTAAGATAAATAAGGGGGCGTCTATCAATCACGAGAGGTTTTAAGAGGGAGGGGGGCGGTTTTACAAAAAATCACGAAATATCACGTGGGGGAGCGAGGCGTAAAGCAAGATATTACGTGTATTTATTTTCTACCAGCTTTTTTATAAAAATACATTTGAAAATCTTTTTTATAAAAATTACAGTTCTTTTTCGTAACTAAAAATAAACGTGATGTTTGGTAGGGGAGCGGGAATAATTTTGAATATCACCACGTATCACCAAGAGGGGAGGAGAGATCCAAAAATCCTCAAAAAAACGATCAGAGATCGTCCATTATCACGTGATCTACTTTGAAAAGATTTTTCGACTGTTTATATTTAAAAAAAAAATCAGGTAGAAAATAAATACATATGATATCTTACTTTACCCCTCCCTTCCCCAAATGATATTTCGTGACTTTTTTGTTAAACTCCCCCTCCCAATACCAATAAATAGTACCAGAGATTTTTGCCAAAAATATGAGACAAAATCCTACACAATCAATAATAATTGACCACAAATAACTATTATGCAAATTAACAATTACTAATGAATTAATTGTTATTAACCAATCTTTAAAGATTCTACACCAACTTATTCTCCCATTTGCGAAAATATATTTAAATAGTTAATGTTATTAATTTCTTTTTTGAATTTATTTTTTTATTTCTTTTTGAATTTTATATGTTAATTTATATAAATATGCATATGTTAAAATCTTAGACATGTAGAATAATTCATGTAGTATAATCATAGACTGAAATCATATTTCAGAAAACTAACGATCATTGATCATTGATTGATCTTAACAAAATATATTTATTACAAAGAACACAATTATTTAACTATTGATCATAATCAAACCTTTGCAAACATCCATCCACACACAAATAACATTAAATTGTGATGTAAAATTCTAATGATGTACAATTTAATACAAGAGTTAACATTTATTGAGGTATGATTTTAAGCAGAAAAAATTTAATACCCACATGAAGTAAATAATGAACATTAAGTAGTATTTTGAATATATATATTCTATTACAACATAGCTTGAAATTACGAATAGTCATTAATTTCTTTCATTTAGTTATTACAAAAACAAATCAAATTCTGTAAAAAGCAATTATATGATGCATTTAGTTTGTAAAATCATCACAAGAGAATGAATATTGTTTTTAAAAATTTGTTAATTAATAAAGAATTGGATAAACTAATTATGAAACATGTTATTTTCATAATTTCATATATTATACATGGTTCATTATATAATTTTGAATCAATTTACATTTCAACTTTTTAAATATTGCCTCATAAATTAATACATTTTTTATGAAAATGTATTCACAATACTTCACAAAACCTAAAATTATTTATACATACATATATACTTATGTTATGAAAAATGCACTTACAGTATTATATAATTACTTACAATTAATACGATTTCATCACTTTTATTACTTTATAATATACATTAAACTACCCACAAATGAAAGAACATATTAAATCAAGAAACATGTTTTTGCATTGCATAATAACTTAGATTTTGTAAAAAAAAATCATTTGAATATATCATAGTATCTTTTTTGTTCAATACATTGTATATGATCAAACTAAATTTTAAATTATTTAATTTTTATCTAAAGCCATTCAATAGATTATCACGTTTTATTAAATTAACATATTAATCCTCTCATTTTTTTAATGTGAAATTTGGACATTTCAAAATGAGTTTGTTGAATGTGCTCATACGGAAGGCATTCACAACACAAGCATTTCAATTTTACTCTGTTTTAATTCTGCATAGTTATGATAAAGCTTTTAAAAGGCAAAACTTTGCCCTCTTCAATATATCTACATATATTACACAAATATTTGTTATATAACTGAAAAATATATAACTAATATTAATAATAGTTTATAATATATTATCTAATTATATATATAAATTTGTTAAGCGCTCAAGAAATCACAAATTATTTGTATCATTATATCAATTTACAGTTAGGAAATATGCCAGTCGAAGAAAAACTTATCCATGAATTTATATTATATATATATATATATATATATATATAAATATATATATATATATATATATATATACATATATATATATATAAATATATATATATATATATATATATATATATATTTAAATATCATGATCAATACCTTGTACTACATACATAATTAGCTGCTGCTTATAAGAAACTAGAGTTGTTTTCATAAGATTTTAACATGATTAAAGCAATCAATAACAAAATAAATGGAAACTGTTCATGGCTTAAACAACTAATAATTATTTTAATAAAACAACATATTTCTCTGATCACAAATGATATTTTTTATTTTTACTAATTTATTTTATATACACAAATAAATTAAAAATATGTAAAACATATGCTTCCGTCATAATTAAAATATGTTCGTACTATTACTGAGAATCATTAATAACCATTTCATATATGAGAGAAGAAAAAATAAATCAACCACATTTTCACTAGTAAGTATCAATTTAACTGGAGCTCCTATATTCAACATATCAATCACAATTTAATGCGTTTGATTAAAGTAACACTTTGTCAATAAAAAGTTTTCTCATATGAATGGTTAAATTATGGAACTTTATACAGTTAAGTTGTTTTTTATTATTTAATTATGGTTCGTATCTAAAATGTATTCATAATATAATAAGATCAAATTATCAATATGCAAATGAACACAAATAATCATACTTGATTTAAGTCAATTGAATGTCTACTGTTACTTAAATTGTATTATAATATAAATTTTAATATTATATACATACATGTGCATGTATATAATATAAATGCACATAAAAAATATATGCATAAAATATGTTTAAAGCATTCATAAAGCAGCAGCATTATTATTACAATATAGTTGGAATAATTAGTCTTCATCACTTAGGGGCTCATATTGAGCAGACATCAGAGGTTTTGGCTGTGCATTATCGACATTCACAGATATTGAAACTTGCTGAGTCACTTGATCGGACACATTAAGCGCACTATATGGATAATTATAGGCAGTGGATGGGTATGTTGTGATGACTTGAACTGACGCTTGACTGGTACTAATTGTATCCATCTTTGCTAATGAATCAGTAGTTTCATCAATTACCATTTCTCCAGGTGAACAACTGCGATCGTTCTCTTTCATTTCACTTTTGTCGCCCTCGTGGTGCTCAGCTGTGGATTCTTCAATATTAGACCTCTTGTTATCATCTTCCGTTCTCATCACTTCTACAATGCGATTTGTTACATAATCGAAAGCTGAAAGATGTTTGGCAGGTTGCTTAAATTTTGAAGAAGGAATAGGCGACCTATCAACATAAAATCTATCATTGCTATGCATATTTATTGGTTCGTGAAATCCAGGTCCAGATACATGTTGGTTTTGTTTAGTACTTCTAGGGCTTGGAGGTTTAGCAATTCGGATAATTTGCCGTTCATCGGAAACATTACTTCTTGAACCTCTATCGCGATCTGCAATATCCTTCGGATGAATCGACCTCCTATACTTCCATTGATCGGAACTGGCAACGGCGTCTTGATTGTGTGCTAAACCATAACTAGATCTCATTGAGATAGAATGACCGTATCCAGGATTGTTAAAATCACTCGTTATAATTGAATCGGTTAGATCACCCAAAGTCATATTTTTTTGTGATAAATTTGAGTTAGGCCTGTTTTGATGTTGTTGATGATCAATATTATCAATTTCAACATTTAAAACATTTGGTGAATGTGATTTTCCATTATTTTCAACTTGAGGATGCTCTCGATGAAAAGCCTAAAACAAAGTAATATGCATGCTTAACCTAACAAATATATTGCACCGCATAGTTTTATATACACAATGTATATCATACGTATATATATATATATATATATATATATATATACATATATATATATAATAAATATCTATATATATAAAGAGAGAGAGAGAGAGAGCTCTCAGTTTAGAAAGAATCCTTGGATGATTATAAAATAAAATAAACACTATATCAATTGAGTTTTCGAGATGCAGAAGTGTTTGGTTATATATTACGATAAATTAATTTAAAAATACATTTCAACGCATGATTAAAAATACATTTCAAATAAAATCATACCTAATAATTTTTGTAATATATTTTGATAGTATTTTACGTTTAAAATTTTAACTTTGTCAAGTATATTAGTTGAACTCAACAATTTTGATCACATTTACTAAATTTTGCTTTTTTTGTCCATATATATATAGATGGGCTTGATTCGAGTTGATTGGAATCCTGAATCAAGTAGGCACATCACTAGGCACATATATACACATATATACATATTCAATAGATAAGTCCTGGATTTTTTCAATATATTAATTGTTTCTTTTCCGAACAGTAAATCCAATAATAAAAAACCATTTGTTTTTTGAAGATGTTTAATAACGACGTTTCGGAACTAGATACGTTCCAACATCAGGTTTATTCTGTCAAAGACAATGTTTTTTTTTTAAAACTATTGACTAACATTAATTAATGATGGTTATTACAGATTATTTAGAAAAATTATAATGAAAAAAGGTTTAATATAAAATTGAGAAAAAAAAATTATTTACCTTTAATAACTTCCATATCACTAATATTTTTATTATAAACACTTTGACTTCACAAGACTTTGTAACACACTGTGATGAAGTTCTGTCGGCCAGATATAAGGAATATATACGGACTTAGGCAAAAATAACTTTTTATGTCTCTTGTATTGGTAATTTACGAAAAATGGGAATGTATTGCCTTAGCAAATGCTGAGATTATGTATAATATTATGTATGTATGTATGTATGTATGTATGTATGAATATTATTATGTATATATACATGCACATACATATACACACCTACATACAAATACATACATATGCATATATCCATATATTCATGTACATACAATTATATATACGAACATATACGCAAGTACATGTATATAGTGTATATACAAAAACATACATATAAGCACATATATGGATGTGCGTATATTACTACATATATATACACACAAAATTATTAAATCATTAATCGTTTTTAATTAGGTTTAAAAAATTTAGATATGAATCATGAATGATATTATGATCTGATCTTTTATTAACACAATTTGACGAATTCAAAAAGATTAAACTGCTTTCAGAAAAAAGTCTTTGAGATTGAATAAACTATGTTAGTATTAAATTTAGGAGGGGTGGTGGATTTAATTTTTGAAAACATTTCTTTAAAAGAATATAAAGCTGTTCCTGAAATAAAAATATTTTTTTCTTTGAGTAATTTGGCAAAATAATCAAATAAGCCTTCAATGTAAGGCATGCTGTGAAAAGTAGGTTTGCAGGACAGCAATATTAAACTTACTTTTCACAGCATGCCTTACATTGAAGGCTTATTTGGTTATTAAACATCTTCAAAAAAACAAAGTGTTTTTTATTATTGGATTTACTGTTCGGAAAAGAAACAATCAATATATATACATATATACAAATATAAACATATATATATATATATATATATATATATATATATAATTAGTGTCACAGCGGTCGTCCGCGATGAATGCCTAAAATACTAAACCGATTTAAAATTTGTTTTGCTCACCGTGTGCATATAGATCCCATTTAAGACATAGGGTATATTAAAAGTTTCAATTTATAGCCGAAATATTATATTTTTGGTAATTTGAATATTTGACCAGTGAATCGTAGAATCAGTTTGATCTTATCTAGACCACCATCGACTTACGAACAATTTGAGCGACCCTGTTCTGAGTCGTACGCCATAGATAAAAGAGTATATATATATATATATATATATATATATATATATATATATGCATATATAAGGCGTACGCAATAGAATTTGTTTATATTGTAAAATTTGAATGCATCGGTTTATACCGCGTTTCTATGTGAGTCCACTCGAAGATTATATATTATTATCTGCTAAATAAATTAATAAATATTATGTAACTTTATGTTGCCAATTTTGAATTGATGGAAAGTTATTGGTAGAGAGTTTAGAAAGCAATATATATTTGTGAGATTCTTACAATTAATTTTTATTAAATATTAATAGTATTGTTTATGAAATTAAATGTGTTTGACTGAATCTCAATTTAAAAAATATATGTTTCATAATCAGGGGCAGTAGCGATAATTAAAATATAAAATTAGTTGGATCTGTCAAAATGAAATGAAACAATATTTAAAATATATATTATTACTGATAAGAAATATAGGACGAAATAAAATATCAATGAATAAAAGTTATATTAATTGCATACTATAGGTATGTGTAAATATATATACATTATAAAAAATATACTATAAATAAGAATTTAAAGCATAAATATTAGTTAATTCGCTGGGCATGCCACATAACAACATAATTTAGAAATGAATTATCGAATTTTACTTCGTAAACCAAAATTTAATGAATTAATCAAAAGCGCGGTAATTATATATCAAAATCTTGAAACTATAAATGCGCTAATTGATATAAATAAAATCAGCTTCAGATTAAATTGGTTCTTGCAAAGACTATTAATATTATCCCCTTTCACTGCCCTTTTCACTTACATACCAATTTGAAATCAATTAGTTATTTTCATACTAGACATATTTTTCATGGCAAAACAACGTTTGCCGGGTCAGCTAGTATATATAGGCACATATATACATATATATATATATGAAGAGAGAGAGATAAAGGAATAATAAAAAGATGAACACCGCCGCATAAAACAATCAAATAATTTAAATTTATTATGTACATTGAACAAAAATGTTTTAAAGATAAAAATAAATAAACTCACATTGATGAAATTTGGCCTTCCATCCCTTGTTGGTGGTGCGGGGCTATCATCTGAGGTCTGATTAATTTGGTGAGTTATAATAGCATCAATTAATTTTGCAGCAGTCAATTGCTCTGGCGACGATGATCTCTGAGCGGGCAGTTGTCCTCTAGAAAGACAAAACAGAATTAGGTTCCAAATAAATACATATCATAAAACTCTTTAGTTCCTAAATTTATAAATTTACTATTGAAAATAGAGAATACTGACCTGTCAGCAGCAACTTGTCGCTCCTTACGATCATGTAACCTCGCATTTGGCGTATCTCTAGGTATACAGCCAACTAATAACCTGGTAGTTTCACGTTCTCTGCGCAATCGCTCCTCTCGATCTAAATCTCGACTTCGCTCGTTCTCCATAATCTTCTCAATGTTTCCACGCTCAATTTCCTTCTCGTTATGAATCTGCTGCTGCCTCAATCTTTCACTTTCAAGTTGCTGCTGTCGTTCCAAATTACTTCTGTGGATATAGTACTGCTCGCGCTCATGCTGCTGTTGCTGCTGCGGGCTACGATAATTGTGCTGTTGTGAAATAGATGTTTGTTGCTGCTGTTGTTGGTGTTGTTGGCGACGATGCATATCCAACTCTACTAATCGTACAGTGTGCTGAGAAAAAATAATCTTGTTAATTATTTTTGCTACTCATTTTTTATAATGAAACAAAATTTATCCAATAGGCAATATTTAGAATTTTTTCAAATAATGTTAAAGATTTACAAAACCAAACACTAGGTAGATAAAGTATTAAGTCAAAAATCTTTAATGCCATTCATCAGTATATAGATAAAATTTGATGGACAATAAAATGTTTATTTGTTATTGTATAATATGTGTATTTTAAATACACCTGTTGGCGTTGCAATTGCTGCTGCTGCTGAAACTGTTGCATATGAAGATGCTGCAAATCTCGATCCCTAGCAATTCTATCCTGCTGATATCTTTAAAAAAAGGAGAGGAATTAATAATAATCAACAAGGAGTAGTATTTTCACCTTAACTTAATAATATTATTTGTATAACTTGTAAATAGTTCAAGAGTCAAAATTTAACATATTTAAGGTTCATTATTATCGTAATATCATTAGATTCAAAAGAAATAATAGTTTATTAATGAAAATCAATGCATCAATATCAATATGAATATACCGAATATCATGATGACTTGAAGTAGGTGGTGTTAGAATTTCAGATCTTTTTTCATCTTTGTGTGGAACTGGTAATGAAGGTTGTTGAACAGCTACATCAACCAAGGATGAAAATGCTTCATGACCTAAGCATTTCACAATATATTAATTAATGGAGATATTGGTTTTATTTAGTACAACTAATTAACATAGATGAAGTGATACCTGGTGGCGGATACTGATGCATCGGTGTGGTCATGTGGTGTAATTTATTAGAAGCTGCAGGGCTGGTAGGTTTGCTGCTATTGTGAGGTTGGCCAGTGTGAGCGTTATGCCGCTGTATCACGCCCTGCCGTTGAGGTGGAGGCGGAGGAGTGTGGTGCGGACTCGGAGCACTATCATAAACAATATAATTAGCCATTCGAGATCATACTGTTATGCGATTCAATAATACAATATTATACTATCTTATCATAAAAACTTATTACCTATTGACTATTTCCGCAGGCGAGGCCCGACTGAGATATTCTTGCCTTGTATTACGATCTTTATCGCCGTAATACATTGAGGCCGGCGAGCTCATTATGGGACCGCGGCTCACGGGCTCTTTTTCTATTGTCCTTCGGCCTTGTCCATGCATTTGTTGCGAAGTAATATAATCCGTTATAATTATTTGTCGTGAACTCAATTGTTGTTCTATATTATACGTAGGCGGTCTAGTGAATGATGAGGTAAAACCTGATGGTACATTATTATTACTTTGAATGGCATAAGGAGGAAAATTACTTGGACTTTGACTTGAGATTTGTAAATTGCCTGGTATTGATAATTGTGCTGGACTTTGCCTTTTATTGTAATAATCGTACATACGCTTCTCTTGCAAATGATGTGGAGGAAGATGCACAGGAGTCCCTTGCGTGATGGAACCAACGCTCTTGGTACTATCAATTTGAGTCTGACGTTGCAAGTTATCATAACGCGGACTCGCCGGAGTATTCACAACGACGGATCCTTGCATTGGATTCATCGGCGTACCATGTGTTATGGAGCCTGGTTTCGTTTGACTATGCGGTACTTTCGTACAAGGCTTCATTGCATTATGCTTGATGGAAATTTTTGAACCAGATTGAGATGTCGATATACTCGGGCGCTGTACCACCAACCCATGCGGCTGTGGTGCCGCCGATACAAAAACTGAGGGTGATTTAGATATTCTACCGGATTCATGGTGATAACCAGCGTATGCCGATTCCCCACTGGGCCTATAGGTTATGCTCGCAGAACTTATCGAAAGTCCAGTCGAACTGTTATGTATGCTAGTTTTGCTATGAGCAGGCGGTGGCAGACTCTGATGTAAAAAATTCGAATTGTCACGACTTTTTTTAATGCTCAAATCTAATGTTTCTGGTTCAGGTTCACTTCTTAAAACAACAAGCACTTCCTTTGATAGTTCTGTTTTAGGCACGCTCGCAGATGCGGACTGAACTGGAGTAATGGTAGCAGCAATTTGGGGTGAAGACAAAATTTGCTGAGCTGGAAGCCTATGCAGAGTGCGCCCATGTGAGTTAACTACAGAAAGTGTTGCTAGCGAGTTTTGTGGTATATTATTATTGCAACTGACGGGTATATTAACGGTGGATTCTCCCATCCGATAATCTCGAATGCACGGATTATCGGTATTTGCTTTTGTTATGAGAGCGGCGCTGCCAGTTTTTTGAGTAGCCGATCCATTGTTTTTCACCATTTGCTCTATAACGTTTAACATAACGTCCCCCATCGAGTCCAGTCGCGATGGCTGATTTATAACAGGAGGGCCGTTCTGGTTTGTCACTACAGTTATTGTTGCTTGTTGTGCTGTCGGTTGACCAGTTTGATATGCCGGCTGAAGTAATGCTTTGGGACTATTTCTTGTAGTGGGCGATTCATTCTCTTCATCGGCTGTTTCCGTTGCCGAACTATCATATTCGTCCTTACTTGTGATTTTAGCAACAGGAACCGTCGGTGTCGGCATTCCAGAAGCAGTGGGAATCGAGGATATTAAAGACTTATCATCACTTTGACTTCTAGGCCTTGAAATCAATTCTTCGCCATCTCTAAGACCTATCAAAGACGTATTACAATGAGGACTGGCTGCTGATGCTGTGTCACTAGCTGCATTATCTTTTTCATCACAAGAAGATGTCGTGCTACCGCTTTCTTCTTCATCTGTGAGCACAGGTTTTATATCTATGCCATTTTTTCTATTGTACTCTGTTATTAGCTCCTCCAGACCATGTTTTTTTCGATAGTTGAAATAAAAATTCTTAATTTGATAGATTGTTTTCGATAACGCTTCTGCGATGGTTTGCCATTGACAGCCATGTTCGCTTAGTAATCTTTTGAAACAAGCTATTTCTTCGTCAGTCAGTCGTTGAGATGGATCTGAAATATCCTCTTGTAAATGCAGACCAAGAACACGCCTTGTTATCCGATTGTAGCACGCAGAACAGCATTTCGTATTCGCCGATGGAATTTCTATTGGAAATAAGGTATAATAGAAAGTTTATAAACCTTAATAATAATATTTAATTATATTATTATATTAGTATCATATTTAACATACTAAATTCTTTCATTATCGGTTCTCGCAAGTCTTGCGTCAGCTCCATCCATCGCTTCGGAAGGCTTCGTAAACGCTTGACGCGGTCCTTGCTGTTCGGACAAGTCGGCAAGGGGCACACAGTGGACCGCGATCTGACGTATTTACACCGGCAAGTATTGCACACACGCGCACCTGAAAATAATACGATAAAAACATATTGTATCTATAGGAAAAACATTCGAAATAGAATCATATCTAATTATTCTTACAAGACCAAGGGCGTAATAGACAGATTATCGGCAGGCAGAGGCAAACGGAAATGTTTTGAATTACTAGTCTAGTACAATATTTAATCAACAATAAACATAAAAAGCACAACTACTATTTTAAAATCAAATTATTTTCATAATTTGATAGCTATTTTTACATACAACAAACAAATTTTTGTAATTTAGATTTATTAAATTATGGCACATATTATGTGTCGAAACATATAAATAAAAAAGTGAAATTTATTTTACAATTTTCCTCAATTATAAATTAATACATATCAAAATCAAAATCAAACTAAACTAAATCGTACCCTGGGGCACCATATCTTCGGTGAGACCATACTGTTGCGCATGAGACTTGGCCAGTGTGCGCGCCTGATTTGAATCCATTTTGCAGATGAAACAAGTCTCTACATTACCTGTTCCCGCTGTAATTAGAAATTATTTCACAGTTAGTTTTATCATACTTAAACCGGATATAAGTAAATTAAAAGAAATTGGATGGTCGAATTTTCGTATAAAAATAACTGATCATTGAATAAATTAAAGGCTTATACAGTCGGTCAAGTAAGAGCGTGGCCGACTTTAACGACAGTTAATGAAAAATTTCGGTCGAATTCTTTCGTGAGCCGATAAAGTGAAGCTTTGTCCTTGATGCATCGTCAACAAAGGTTTAGTTGCCGATGATCTTATGAGAAAAAATCACGTTAAACGCCATGAGTGCTAAGTTACGCGTCGCGCTACGAGGCTGCGCCCTTTTGCATCCACCCAAAAGGTCTCCAATTGTCGCAATCAGCTGCTGCTAAACATATGAGAAAGTTGAAGGCATTTGTACAGAATAAGATACACCTATATAAAGTTGCTAAAAAATGTCGCTGATTCATCAGAACGTGGTTCAAATAAAAAAGAAGAAAAAAGAACAGTGAATGTGTTTTTGCGGAATCCTGCTTTAATACTGCAGCAAAGACGAGCAAAAGTAATGGCAAAATGTTCAGAAATATCTACAAAAATATCTACAAAACTATCTGAACCTTTCTTCGTATTCATAATCTGAAATGGCGCAACACAATGCGGAAACCCCTGGCGACTGAAAAACATGTGCTTCTTTTTCCGCTTGGGCATATGAAAATATTGATACAGATTTTAAAAACGTCATTTTTATTGATAAATGTTCTATATGAGTACGTACTGCCTACATCAAGCTATTAAATTAAAAGACGAGCCCTCAGAGTAAAATAATCCGTTAAATTAGTAAAAAGCAGGCGTCGGAGATGCCAGCCAATTGTCGACTCCGGTGGTGACTGGACACATATTGACCAAATTACATCATTGTTTGTAACGTATACAATGCATATATAAATATTAAAATTTCATAAAATAATTATTTTTATGAATTAACACGGCCACGCTCCTACTTGACCGACTGTAAATTAAAGAATCTTTTTATATCAAATTGTTAGTGCAAAAAAAAACAACTTTTTAATCCAATGATAGCCGAAATTCAATAGCAGAAAAAAACAAATCACATAAATAAAAGCACGTAAAAGATCTAACAGTTCATCCAATCAGATGATGGATATTCGCATCCATATTGAAATCAGCGTTGTCGTAATATAATGTGTATGGCTGTTGGCCTGCGTGACAAATCAATCCCGTAGAACGGTATCACAATTAAATATTAACAGATTTTAGTTACTCTGCCAAATGAAAACCGATCATAACAAAGCTTACTGTAATGCAATACGTACATTGTCACGGAAATCTACTGGCAATATTAATTAACAGACATGCAAAGCACCACTACATAAAATGTTTCAAGAGCAAAACTGCAGCCAGTCACTCAAAATATAATATTTTTGAACAGTTGCATGCGATAATTCGATTAAAATGGAAGGCTCTAAACATACTCGGGCAAAGGCTTTTTTTATAAAAAAAAGACATTCAGTTTTTTTATTCATATAATATGAAACAGAAATAAGTTAGTATTTATTCTCACAACATAATGTTAATTTTTTATCTTGTATTATAGTATCATATAGATGCCGTTTTAATGGATACACTATCCTTTATGTATATTGATGTTTAATAAATATTCTAATAATCTGAATAAATGTAATAATAAATCTACATAAACTGTAGTTCATATTAGTTTAATTAATATTTTGAATAAGTGTATATATATACATATATATTAATTTAGAAATATGAACAGACAACACTTTTTTGCACTAATTTATTAAATAATAATTTCACAAACGTTTCGATACTAGGTTTGTCTCATCATCAGTGTGTTATAAATTTAAAATTTAAAATATGGAAACCTATATAAGCCTTATGTGTTATCCGTTACACGTCATTCACAGTACTGTGAATTCATTTGTTCATATTTCAAATTATATTTTAATATTATAAATATATATATATATATATAAATAAAGTTAACAAAGTTTAATGAAATATGCTTAAACAATATGATGAATTTGCTCTCGCCGTGTTCCTATGTTATAGTCTATAGTGGTTATATTGCTCGGCGAATATCATCTCGTTTCGTTTCGATTGCTGGTGGTTTGGGGATAAAATGATTACTCGCTTCTAGCAGAGAGTTGTTTAATCGCGGGCTAATGAGCGAATTATTACGCTGACTCGGCTTAATTAAATGAACTGTTTGTATTGGTTTAATTAATATATATATATATATATATATATATATATATAGGAGTAAGTGTGGGTATATATTATAAACGCGAATGCATTCATAACACAGTGCTTTTGCTCAGTTTCTTGGCCGCAAATTTTATGTTTCATTTTTAATTATTCATGTATCATTAATTTCTCTTAACATATACCTATTAAATATATATATATATATATATATATATATATATGAACGGGTCGATTTAAAGAACACTTAGGCACATATGATTTTCGGATACTAGGGATCAAAATAGATACTTTGCTGAAGAAACCATACCTCTGAAATGAATTCTGGTGTCCCGTGCGTTGGCCCAAAAATAAGGGTTGAATGTTAAACAACCGCTCCGGGGATGAACCACGGGCATGGGTGAATCGGCTTTCCAAAGTTAGTGGAGCATCGGTCATACATTTGAACGCGGGGCACTCTAAATGGGTCAAAATGGAATTTTTCAAATTTATACCCTTATTTTTGGGTCATTGCACGGAACATCAGAATTCATTTTAAAGGTATAGTTTCTTCAGCAAAGTATCTTATTTTGATCCCTAGTATCCGAAAAAATCATGTGTGCCTAAGCGACTTTTTTTTTGACCCATACAAATCGACCGACCCGCTCCAATATATATATGGTTGTTTATAATACTGCAGATTTCTCAAGTACCAATTAGGCGAGACGTATTAGTCGACTAATTAGTATTGGTCTAATTATAATTGTGTGATTTCAAATAATCACTTAATTTGGTTTGGCAGAATGTTTTTGACTCATTAGTTATTTTCAACATAAATGAACTGTTACACTACGTCTGGAGATTACCTAGCAAAAGAAACTTCACTGTCGGTCACGGCATTCAGAATTGGCACCGGCCATCATAGTCAGTCGGTCCCAATCTACTTGCTTGACGATCATGACAAGTTTCTTTATTGAAACCATTGGATTTATCTGTCATGAATTTTAAAAATAAAGCATTGAAAATGTCGACCAAATCGTAATTTTGCAAAAACTTGTGACTGTTCCTACATTTTCAGCCACCGATTTGGCGTGTTTGAATAGTACCCGATGCCATTTCAAATTTTAAAATCAACTATCCAGCTATTAAAACTAGTGGCCTATAAAGTCTACATCAATTTCGAGCATTCTCGTATATTATAGGTACTTCAAGGCGGTTTTAGAGTTTGTTTGAAGTCGCCCAATATTTCAATTTCTTTAAATTCAAATCTATTCTTTGAAATAATACGTAACGTACAAGCTGGTAGGTGAAGCACAGCAGACCACTGAGCTTGTGATTTTTTTATCGAAAAACATCAATATCTCAATTTTTTAAGGGACAGTGCCTTTTTGCTCTGGAATATTAAACATGATGGCAAATCGTACCAAGTTTTAAAAATGTATAAAGATACGATTCTACGGTATATACCATATACATATATAAATAGCATACAAATTATATGGAAAGCAAGAATAACAAAATAAGCATTATTACATAACGCTGCGAATTTATTTAAATACACACACGGTCTCGGGTCTCGGGTCTCCGGTCTGTGGGGTGCATACATGTCATCCGCACAATCAGTTGTGCAAACAACGGTAGACAAGCGAGAGTGCGGATACATGGCGGATACGGTTTAATCATATTAGACTTGACAATTCTCAAAGGTATTGCACCAGTGTACACTCTTTACATTCGCATATCGTTATATTTTCATATTACTACCGGCCTCAATTACATATGGACGTGCACTTCATTATTTTCATTTCAAGATGCACGATTCTATAATATTAAAATGGAAATAGATTCAAACTAACCTAACACACACCTTGCACGATCAAAACTCTTGAAGAGCTAACACTGTAACTTCCCAAATAATCGGGTTTTTTCGATTTTTTTCGTGCGGAAGAAAAAGTGATAAAATCATAATATTGGGCGAAGTTTGTTTAGCGTATATCTGAACAACAATATATAAAATTATTATAAAAAACATTCACCATTGACACCATTGCCATTTTGGCGAAGCACGCAGAATTTGAAGCGCTCTGCGTGCAAAATTGGATAAAAAACGCTTATTGAACATGCTTATGCGGCCTAACTCTGGAGAAATTAGTAGATTTACAATTGTTTGAATTAATTCGTTTAATATAAAAAAACTATTAGTTTAACTAATAGTTAATAGGTAGTGATATTTAATAAATAAAAATGATAAATTGACATGTCGAAATTCCTTCATTTTAATCTTAAAAATCTCATTTTAAAGATATTGCAACAAATTGCAATTGAAATGAAAGAAAAAAAATAGAGTTATGCTGTGCACCTTTTGAAAAATCACTTTTCGAAATGCATCTAAAGTTTAGAAATGCAATATAAACAATGACAGTGTTTGGGGAAAGGATCAATATTACAAGAAAAACATATTTTGAAGTATGAAATATTTTTATAAAAGGATCAATTAATTTTTCAAACCAAAATGTACAATTCCTTGATAAAATTACAGTGGTTTATCACTGCTGAAGTGAGTATATATATTTGGTTCGAAATCGATATCAAAACATTGCTCAACAACGACGACGTCATCCATATTTCGATAATTTTGATAAGTATTGCCCATCTCTGATCCCCTCATATATACGAAACGAAGTCAAATAAGAGAAGCTTTTGCACATGGAACATGACTAAAATAAATATTTACTCTGCCGAAGCCTGCCATCAATTACTGCGTTTGTATATATACCCCGCACGAAGAAACTCAAAAATACACACACGCGCGCTGTGTCACATATTTCATGTTACGTACATGTATGTATACAACAAATTATAGATTTATGTATATGTACATAGAAATAATTTTATATTATTATAGCATATATTTTATTCGCATCGACGTTTCGACAGATCCGTTCGGTTGTTACAAATACAGTATGTGGTCAAAAAAAAAACACACACATTTATAGAAGAACAGATTTTCCATTAGTGAATGAGTGTGTATAATCAAAATTTTATCGTTTATATAGTAATGAGAATATAAGAATAATCATGAACAAGATACTGTGCGAAGAAATAACATTTCCATCTCTCATTTGGATAAGGAAAAATAAGGTTCTGCTAAAACAAATAGAATGATTTTAAAAGCACTCTGAATATTTAAAAGACAAACATATCCCGGCTTGATGCGGGGAATGTTTCATGATTTGAAAATATAGTATGCAGGATGAGAATTCTAATTTAGTAATGAACTGCAGATGAAATATAAAAGAGAGTACGTAGAGCATGCTAAATATTTTGTATAAATGAGTAATTGGAAAATATAGAAAAGGATATTTTTGAATTGAATTCTTTTTTTGGTAGGGTACAAAAATTTTAAGATTTTATTTTATTTAAATATCACATAATATTAGTACATAGTATTAAATAATTACTCTTTCTTTCTTTTTTTCGGTATAATATTTTCTACCGGTTTATATAAATATATAATGCGTCCTTAACTTTTGTTGTTTAAATATTAATTATGAATAACTAATTAATTTTTGCAATTTAATCGAAAACGATTTTATTTTTGTAAAATTGGTAAATGAACAACAATGAAGCATTTAATGATAAATGTTGATAAAGACTAGTTTTGTTATTACTTGTATTCAAAATGAACCAACACTTTCTAATGCAAAAATATTTAAATTATGGGAAATAAAAAAATAACCTTAATCATTCGTCATTTATCAAATGCTCTTCAAAATAGCCATCCTAGATTCTAAATCTTGCCTATTTTGCAAAGTGCATGGGTTTTCGGATACTGTTTATTAAAATACTGTTTTAGAAATCACTTTAAAATAAAACTTACGAAAAAACAAAGTTGATAATCATGAGGGTGATTTTCAGAAATAATTAGGTAATCTATCTATCAGATTTATCCTAATCTGTATAAGCAGAAAAAGATATATAGGACATCACAAGAAAGCGAGTTGATTCAGTGGAGATGCAATTAATATTGCAACCTTTACACGACACATTTATTTATTAATGAATTTATTCACTTGTTCATGAGTAGATAAATAAATAAATAACATGTTTGAAGGTGGTTGATGTGCATATGACCCTTTGCGTACTGTACTTTGATGGTATTGATATAATCTGATATAGTTATTATTTAACAAAAATTCAAATGGTCTACGATGAGAATTTCTGTTAAGTAGGTACTCGTAACTATTCCATAATATGCTCCAATAGTATTTTCTAAATTTGATGCAGCAATAGTTACGAATCATAACGTATCAGCAGCAAACTAAAATCAGGTAGTCGAGTGGCCAATAAACGGCAAGGTACGTTCGTGTAGAGATGGATACATAGATTCTGTAAAATCATCTAAGCCCCACCCCCAGTTTAAAACGGTTATAAAGCGGGTCGCGTGATAGCAACGGCCAGTCATAAATCATCCCCCATTCTGTTTTTAATAATTATTGATTTCTTTAACAAACGTGCGATTACATGTGATGAACATTTATAGTTTTAACTATTTTCGTGTGGGTCCAATTTCAGTAGTGGACATAATTGCTATAAAAGTGATAATTTTAATAATTGTTCAGAACGGTAATCATCAAAAACGTTTATATTATGTGAAAACTAACAATAAATTTAGGTTCAGCTAAATTTCAATATAACAAAGTTTGAAACACGTAGTGTATTGAATTCTATATTTAGTGTATTATTTATATGCAGTTTAAAGTCGGATTGCGAAAATTGTTATGATCAAGCCATCTGTTATGTATTCGCTGTACCAATCGTGGGGTATGCAGGTGCAGCCAGACGCGAACGTGCCACCTGATCTTCTATTAGATGTGGGAGAAACACGTTTTGCGGCGCACAGCATGCTTTTGGCCGCACACAGTGGTTACATAAGAGCGGCCCTGTACGCTCGTCAATCGATCGAAGCGATAAATCCTTCGATTACCACACCCCTTGTCATATCAAATATATCGCCTGAACAATTCGCACCTTTACTGGCATATATGTATTCCGGTCATTTGGAACTGACAATTGACAACGTATTCATAATTCTATTGGCTACGCACATACTGCAAATGCCCCGGGCATTAGAATTGTGCAGAGAGTTTTTAGCAGTGCATCAATTAGTACCAAAAATACCAAATTTTGGCAGCAATAATCAAGACCAAGGTGTGATAAAACCTATACCAAACCGACATACTTCAATGTGCGCAATGACATCGGCCATACCTCCAATCAATCAAGGAATATTCAATATATCACGGACTACACATTTTCGTCCTCCCGATCGAGTAAAAAATAAAGAAGTCACACCGCTGCCAGAAAAATCTCATTCAACCGGCGAGTGCACTATCGATCCTCTCAATGGCCCACAAACGACGCAAAAATTAAATACATGTAGAGGAAAATCAACCAGCACTTCAATTTTGAAATCAAATTCTCAATCCAATCAACAAGTTAACTCGCAGAAAGAAGCAATAACCGGCAAAATAGTAATAGATATTGCATCCTGCGACGGTCCGGTTCGTTTCTCGAGGGTTCTCAACCATGCCTACAACAGCGGAGCTGCGAACGAGGCCGGCGGTCCCGAGACTAATACATCAGCTATCAGAGAAACTTACCACGACATTGCCGATGCGAGTTTCAACACGCAAATGGCGAAAAATATACGAGAATGCAACCCCGGCAATGACAACCCGGAAACCGCGAACAGCAGCGACAGCGAAGAAATCAACATCGAGGATGTGAACCCATCGGAAAATTCAATCAACCTGCACGATAACAATTTTGCAAATGGTCAATCGATTTACATGTGCATGCACTGCAATCACACATTCAAATCGCAGTACTGCTATCAAAAACATGCCAGAAGACATTTGCATCCAGTGGAGTCGAATCATCTAATAGAAGTAAAAATCGGCCAAGGTGCGCCTGATAGCACGAAGCTCAAAATAACGCATTTGGATATGAACGTTCAATATTATCCTTGCAAAACTTGCGGATCGAAATTTCCCAGTTATTATTTTGTGCACAAACATCGAAAATCGTGCCATGCAGAAGAAAACAACTGAATTAATTTAAATGCTCACAATCTTTTAAATATATTGAAAAAATTATATAAAAACATAATATATTCATTTAAATTGAATACATAAAACATTGTATTATAAATTTAAAAACAATTATTCAATATGTATGACACAATATGTATATGCAATTAAATATTAAATAAATTACGCTGTTTAATTAGTTAATATTTGAGTATTCAAATTTTTTTCAATTTAAGCATGATCAGTTTCCGTTCCCATCGGATACTTGTTATAATATGAACGCAATTTTCATCATGACATTTAAAAGTAAAGTATGTTTATATATATCAACAAAGCGTTAGAAAGCGCTTGTAAATGTTAAAGCAGATGCCTAACAGTTTTAAGTTTAACAAATCACAGATTAAAAATCTATTCTAGGATAAAAACATCTGTATCAATATAACTTTTGCACAACCCAACAGTAAATGTAAAAACAATACATAATATTAAACAATATATAATATAACCTACGCCAACATGAAAAGTCCATATTATTTAATAGTACTTATTTTTGTACGCAATAAAGAATATAGTTTTAATATTCAAAAATAGTCAACACCGTCAATCTGTTATTATGGTAGACGAAAAATACTATATCATGTTTCCCTAGATTGAACTCGATTGAATGGTAAATAAAAAATTAACCAAAATATGGCGTATAATATATCACTTGACATGTATCATAATAAAATGTTTTAAAAATCAACTCACCCTTATCCTGGTGCTCATCATCTGAAGTTGCTGCTGCATCTTTTTGCTTTAGCTTCTTATCGTTTAACACCGACGTATCAGTTGTACTGAAATTGACACACAAATTCATTTATATATATATATATATATATATATATATACATATACATACACATACACACTTGTAAATGTATATGCATGTATGAATATATACACAAGTGGTGCGCAGGTCCGTGAGTTACAATGGTTAATTTTTATTTTTTTCATAAATTAAGTCAAATTCTCGAAAGCGTTACTCGACTAACACAAATTAAATAAATGATTTTAATAAATGTTTCAAAAATGACTTATTTACAATATCGTAAGAAGTAGAATTATTTCTGTAAATGAAATTATCCATGCATTACAGCCTCACAGTGCTGATGACTGAACATAATTAATTATATTGAATTAATTAAAACATGTGACTAAGAAGTGATATGCTTGTTCGGTATTAAAGTACAAAATAAAAAGATAAATTTATTTAAAAATCAAAATAATAATATCTTACTGCATTAACGCTTATAATAAACAAAACTATCATTGTTAAGTAATTAATGTGAATAATTTTGATTCATACTTATTCTAAAAAAAGAAAAGTATGAAAGTTTATGAATAATTACGAACAAGTAGTTTAATTGTAAAGAAGAATCGTTGAAAATTACACGCTTACATATAAGAGTTCATAGAAGATTAAAATTCATTAAAGAAGATAATAATGATGTTAATGTAAAATTTTGAATATAACTTTGAGCACATGAATATTGTGTCTCTAAAAACAGTAAGATCATTTAAAAATAGTGTTTGAAATGAGGCAATTGATATTATACCATAGCCTATGGAGTCCTATGGTAACTTCACTCACCAGTTTTGTTCATCGGTGCCAATAGGCAATATAGACTTCGCAGTAGTTTCTTTATCTGTGTCTGCTGTCGCAGCAGCAGAAGCAGCAGCAGCAGCAGCAGCAGCAGGAAGTGGTTCCGTTGGCGCCTCTGGAGTCGCTATCGGTACCGATTGTGTCACTGAATCCGTCACGACCGGCACGTCAGTCATTAATACAATGTTTTCTGATATCACTTCACTAGTCACTCCACCTGAAGCACCTGATGCACCACTATTATTCTCGCCAGTAGTATGTAACGTTGACGATTCCACAACCGGTGCACTATTATTAACCACATCATTGTTACTGTTACTGTTATTGTTGAAAATGTTATTGCTAGTGTCACTACAATTATTATATTCAACGGCAGGTGCTTCTTCTTTCGGTATTGAAGTGGCGGCCAATGCCGAACTAGAGCCAACATTATTGTCTTTCAGTCCTGTCTTCTGTTGTTCGCGTTGCAAACGCGTTGTTACGCCAGAGGTAAGAAGATCCGCAATGTTTGTCGCTACTTGACCCGCTGTTTGACCGCGATTAACGTTTGATCTAGAACTTCTCGTCCTTTGTCGCGATTTTCTTAAAAGCTGTTTATAATTTTCAGTCTTTTTATTTAAGTAATAATACCTAACACAGTCCTGTGCACTTTTACGTTCAAGACAAGCCGATATTGCTCCAAAATTTTTCGGATGCTGCAAATATTTCTCACGGAACATCTCGCGTTCTCCTGCTGTCCAAACATTCAAATTTTTCCTTTCCTTGTAATCGCGTTCCATGTCGTCGCAGGCGCCATTGTCATTAGTGTAGGTCAGTTTGCGTCGCCTAGCATCGTACGGCAATGGTGGAATGACGGCATATGAACGCATCTTCTTGTCCTCCATCGCTTGCTCCTGCAAACCATCCATTATTTCCTCCAAGTCCGCTTCCGACTTAATACGAGCGCCAACTCGGTTGAAGCGTTCTTTATCTTCGCGTTGTTTCCTAAGTTCTGGAAAGACTTTTTCGAAGAATTCACGATTTTTCGCATCCTTTGCACGTCTTTTCGCTGAACTTTCGGCTCGATCTACTCTCCTCTGCCACTCCTGCGCGAGTTGAGAATATCTCTCGGCTAATTGCGTTTCGCGTTCTAGCCGCTCCGCTTTTAATTTTCGGAAATGCAATAATAGCCGCGGCCTGAGCTCCGAATATTGTGCTTTAGTATCGCGCCATGCTGCCGCATCCCGTGGCTGCTGATATAAAGGTAATAACGATGAAGGACCTAGAACAGATAACACAGCATGAGCTTGTGTTGCCCGTTTTCGATTATCGGCGTAAATTTTTTGCGCTAAACTGCGATGCTTTGGCTCCTTTTTCTGATTCAGTTTCGGAGCCCGTGCTGGGTTTTATAGCAGCTTCTTGCAATCTATCTTCCTCCTTTTTCAATTGAAATATTTGAATTTCGGCTTTAGCTATCTCTCGATCAACTTTAGAAATCGAAGCTAATAATTCATCTTTAGTACTTTTCAGTTGATCTTCATAATGATCCGGAGGTAAAGTTGGAGAAATTGCTTCTACTTGAGGATGATAAGCGCCAGCAGGTGGCTCCCTCGTATCTATTTTTAATGGTGGCGGTATAGAGGCCGGTGCTGAAGGTTCACCGGTGTTCAAACGAACTTTTTTATACAATGGCTGACCACCTGCATCAGGAGGTGTGAGCAACGGTCTCAAGTATTCTGTACTGCATGTAGGTGCTAACAACGAAATTCTAGGTCGAGTGGAACTATCGGGCGTATGATTTCTCATATAATCCATATTAGGTATTCTTGCATATGGATTTTCGCGGTAAGGTACCGCGGCTCCGTATGGAGAAGGCTGCAAATATCGCATAGGCGCTTCTCTAGCCGATGCTACAGTGAACGTTGGATACGCTCCAGATCCTGGCCGCGGAGGTGACAATGGACTTGCAGCAGCACTACGTGATATCGCCTGCTGCTGTGGTTTGCCGTAGCCTTGTGGCTCACCAGCCCTTTAATTATAAATTATAAATTATAAATTCAAATATTATATCAGTATAAGTAGAAAAAAATACATTTTCAATATTCGATTGCAAAATAAACATGAAATATATTAATATTAGCGCACATTAATAAATTGAGCAAACTACTATTCGGTATTCAAATTTTAACATAACTTTTCATACAAAAAAATAAAACTTTATTAAATTAGTTTAAATATTTTTTACCAAAGCAAACTAGAGTCTTTCGTTCGGTGATGTCATTTCAATGCAGCAAAACATTGTAACTCGTTTAGATAGAAATAAAGGTCGACTTGTTGTCGTTATAGAACACTATTTTGAGCCAGAATATTTTTCTTCGTGCTATTTGGTTTTCCACAAAATCTATTCACGTTAATATACTACAATAATATGCAATACATTTTTTTTGAAAAGTCACTGCACTGCATTTTCCTAGTCAATTTGTATTTTATTAATTTTCCCGACTGACTGAATAGATGTAAATATGCAATACATAGCACACGGGGTATATAGTTTAATCAAAAATAAATGCGAATCTCCAAAGCTATTCCTTAGATAACGTCCATTTTTAAAAGATTTGTTCTACGATTTCTGTTTATACTGATATTATATGCTAGTAGTGCTTGTGCGAGTACGAATGTATAAATGCATACATTTTTGCTGATTTGTTAATTGATCATTATAGATATATACATACATACATGCATACTCTTATTCGAAAAATACTTTGACGCAGGTGCTTTAATGCAGTCGCAGTGCTCGACCCCTCAACAATACGTTAGCCATTTATTACTTATGAAAGTACAACTACTTGTCAACGATTGTAATCATATCGACACAGATTGTTTCTATTGCGTCCATTATAATTAAAAATCAATTTACTTGCTGAGTATTTTAAAAGAAGAGAAAAAAATGAGGTGTTGATTTATGAGGCTAATTAAAATGAAGTCAAAAAAGATTTCAGTCCGGAATGTCTGCGTAAATCATGAATTTATTCCCTACTCTTCGCCACAAATATTTGCATCCGCGCAAAGTAAAAGCGCCCGCGTAACTTGATTAAGTTCTTATGAATACTCGCAGGCGCATGCGCCGTCCCTTGTCATTCAATTCATCTGGCATGGACGACAATATCCGAAACGATGCAGAAGCACGCCCCCACATCTAATATTCAGATTTAAAATTATTAAACTAAAAATAGTTCATATTTCTCCGGCTTTTAAATAGTACAAAAGCAAACTAGACTATGTAGATCATAGAGACCGACACACCCGAAACTAAAACAAGGGATGATTCAGAAATACTAAAATGCTTTTTAACCAACAAATTAAAAAATGTTTATCTGTAACTTCTTTGTATTATTAAACTAATCCATTTAGAACTAGATTCTAAGCAAATAGTAGAAACACGACACACCCTAAACGCAATAGAGAATTATTCAGAAATACTATAATATTTCGTAGCCGACAAATTATGAAAAATCGATTTTCTCTAGCTTAAATGAAATTAATCCAAAAATGAAAATAAATCTATTCATTTAAGCCAGATTATGTGCAGATCAATTTTTTATTAATTTGCAAATAATTTAGGAACCATCCACAATGTGATAAATGAGGATTTAAATTTAAAAATATTGCAAAAATTCTGGCTTAATGATGATCTTTTGTAAACAGCTTTATTATTATAATATTTATTAATAAAGTTAAAGTTAAGGCAAGTCTACTCAAAATAGCATATTCAAACGTTGAAAAGTATAAAATTCAAATTTCAGCATGGTATTGAGTGAATACAAATAAATGGTATTAAATAACAATCAATGGAATCAAGTATGCAGTTCGGATTAAATAGAGCAACAGATTTAATTTTGGACTTAACTCGGTGATAGCCTGACTTTCTTATGCTAGTAGAAACACGAATTTAGCTATTTTTGGAAATAGATACTTCGAAAACTGTCTACTTTTATTTCGAAACAGCCATAATAGATTTTAACTTATAAATATTATATTCTCCACAAGAATATACATCTATAAAAAAATTTACTAAAATAAAACTAAAGAAAGTCGTTCTCACAAATTTTCGTAGAAAGTGACAATGATAGAAAAATACATTAAATAAAAATTAAATGAAGTTTGGAACATGAGTTTTTCTTTTTTATTATACTATGATTTTTAGAACTAACCTAGAAGAACAATAAATACAGTTTTAGGACTGAAATTAAGTTGTAAAAACACAAAATAATTTGACTATTGGCAGTGATTTTCAGAATGACAGAGATTGATGTAGAATAAACTTTCTTTTCAATCTGACCCTGGTATTGTTTTGGCCGAGTTTTCGGGTAAATTTCATTAAATACATTAAACAATGTTATTTTATTTATCCATTAATCATTACTAATTACTGGTGCACTATATCCCTACGAAAAGATCTACGAATGGTCTGAGATATTCGGATAATCGTCACAGTAGTCATGCGCAAAAACTTATGCGTCGGAAACGCAATCGATCTGTAATCGAAGATAAAACAAAATCATATATGAACAAGTAAAAAACTCAACATTTTGCAATTAATTTACTTAGAAATTCTCATTAACTATTGTATTCATTTTGAGGCGGTGACTCAAACCATCGGTTTGAATGACATTTTTCAGTATACCATACTTGAACTAATATACAACTAGCTGTAAGTGGAATTCTGTCTTGAGGCAATTATGGCATCGTGCTAGAACTTTCCGTACCGTAACAAAATGTTCGAATGTTTTCAAATAGATTATTATAAATATTGTAACATTGTCTAATATTTATAAGAATTATATAAACTGAATTGCAAAGTTGAAATTATTTGTAAAGTATATTAGAACTATAGTCAGAATTAAATATAAAATCTGAATTATTTTCGATATACAAAAAAAAAAAAAAAAAAAAAAAAAGGAAAATTTTTTTTTTCCAAAATCAATTATTTTGATAAGACAAGCTGAAAGTTCTTTGAATTATTTAAATCGGACGCTTAGTTCTCTCAAAAACTGCCATTTTTTACATATTTAGCTCCGTATCTTCGAAATGGCTGGGCCTGCCTTTGCCAAAAACTAATAAACACTTCTCCCAATCATTACTAATTGAATGTTTTTTAGATTATTCAAATCGGATACTCCGTTCTCTCAAAAAGTAGATTTCTATTTTCTGCATTCTTTGCTCCGTATTTCCGAAACGGCTGGACCTGCCTTTGCCAAAAACTAATCAGCTCTTTTCCCTATGAATAGGAATCGAATGTTTTTTAAACCATTCAAATCGGTTGATCCGTACGCCCGAAAACGTGGGCGAAAATTTGTATCCATACATACATACATACACACACACACATCCATTTTTTCTGAAGTATGCCAAAACGTTCATAAACCTTCAAAACGTCGAGAAATGTAAAAATTTTCAATTCCGATTTTCGGCCCATTACAATAACTTACCCTACGGGAAGTTAATAAAACCATATAATTTATACAAATCTTTAATGGGCCATTTATTGTAAACGATTCTAAAATAATTTATTGTGAACCCTATTCAGAACCCTAATTATTTGTCTTGTTTTGATTTTAGATAAAATTGTACGTGAATTAGTAGTAGTAGTATTTTTGTTCCATTTCTAATATTTTAATTATTATTTTTTAATATAATGCTTAGGTTTTTTACATAAAGCATTCCTTTACAATTGTACCTGCCAAATTATTCATCAATGTAGCGGCGAAGCTACAAATTTTGTTTATAACAGAATGATGTTGGAACGTATCTAATTCCAAAACATCGTAATTAAACATCCACAAACAATATATATATTATATATATATATATAATATATATATATATATATATATATATATATATAAATATATATATATTATTTGTGTATATACATTTGTAATATTTTTGCAGCCCAATCGTCGAATTAAAAAAAGATTAAATAACAAAATTATTTATTCCATTAAACGTTTCGACACTTGATGTGTGTCATCATTCAGTAATCAAACCAGGAAAAACAACAGAAAAAACTAATTATTATGTAAAATTGATTGAACACTAAATTTGACACTGATGAGTGTCCATAATGCACCGCTATCAATAACATAAAATATAGCAGGGCAATATGTGCTCCTTCAATTTCTCGTTTGTTAATATAATAGTATTTTATTATTTTTTACACAAATTTAGTGTTCAATCAATATTACATCATAATTAATTTTTTCTGTTGTTTTTTCTGGTATGATTACTGAATGATGACACACATCAAGTGTCGAAAAGTTTAATGGAATAAATAATTTTGTTATTTAATCTTTAATTCGACGATTGGCCTGCAAAAATATTACAAATAAGTATCAACGTCGACAAAACTATCATCATACATACATACATATATATATATATATATATATATATATATATATATATATTGTATGATTCTGAATTTGATGTTGACATATGTATTATCAAAGTCTAGTAATCGAGCATAACATCAATAAAACATGAATTTCTTTCAAAAATTTATTTTAAATCCATACGTTTCGGCTATAATCCTAGCCTTCATTCAGTGGAAAAATTAGTTGATCTTAGTGTTAAATTGGAAAATTTTAATAATTTGAAAGAAATTCATGTTTTTTATTGATGTTATGTCCGATTATTAGACTTTGTTAATATATATATATATAAATATATATATATATATAAATCAATTATTAACTAATTTTGAATGATTTAATGTATTCATTTTAAAGACAATTTCCGATAGATCAAAATTAGCTAATAATATGAACGTTCTCATGAATTTGAGAACCAGCTATCGTTCAACGATCCTAGATTCTCTTCACAAACTCAAATCATTTTAAGGTATCTTATTCCTGTTTAAATTCTTTTATAGTAACTGAATTAATAAAGATACATATATCCATAATACATCACTGCAACATAGTTAATGTACGAGTTAATTCTTATAATTTTTCAATTAGGTTTCATTTTTATTTTATTTAATTTAGTATTAGTTTTCACACAGAATTTTATATTATATATTATTATATATAATATAAAATATATTTAAGTCTATGTAGGATATGTAGCAAAATAGAATAAATAAATAAAAATTTAAATATCAAAAACCTAATAGAAGTATTTCGAAATTGATGAAAGAACTGCCTCGCATTTTTTGTAAAACTAAATTTGCGGCGATCCGTATTGATTTTCTCAAATTCATTTCCCAGAGGTTTTATATTCTTATTGTTAGTATAGACAGACAATGTTGTAAGATGATTACAGATTGTGAATAATGATATACCTGTGCATTACGATGGGCGCCATTGTCGAATGTCGCTGCTGTGATTGTATGTAGAGCTGTTGTTGTTGATTTTGGGCCTGGTGGTGATGCAGGTGTGCAACGGTGTTGTCGTTATTGTGCTGCTGCTGCTGGTGCTGCTGCTGCTGGTGTTGCTGGTGCTGCTGGTGCTGCTGGTGTTGCTGTTGCTGCGTTTGTTGATGTGTCGTCGCAATGATCGGTTGCTGTTGCGCAGTCGGTGGACCGGGCCCACCCGACGAGCCGACGACTACCGCGCGAATTGCTGGTGCTGCAGCTGCCTCCATTGGGATGACAGATTTGCTGCTGGGGCGACTCGTCTGCTGCGAACACTGTCATCACTACTGCACGATTTTAGACGTATGCCGGTCGCGTGAAGCGGGCACTGCGTAATGGCATACGTATTTCATTCGTACAACAAACAATACGCACTTTCAACCGTTCTAAAGCGATCAAATTGACTTTAGGCACAACACAGACGACATTTTTCAAGCAGTTCAAACTTCAAATCAGAACAAACGAATTAAATCGAACAGTATGAAAGTAAACATTCACCAATCCTTGAACATCACATGATTGTCCGAGCATATATCACATAACAATATTCGAATTCGTTAACACTTTAAATTATGGACTGCACGTTCAAAATGACAGGATTTTAATTCAAACATTTTTTCGAATCTAAAACAAAATCATATATATATATATATATATATATATATATATATATATATATATACAAGTAAAGAGAAAATAAACATGAGTGTATTTTATAGAAAATATTGATAGTAAAATCTACGATAATAATTTAATCACTTAGTCATTACTTAGTCATTGATATTTGACTTTAGTTAAAAAAATCAAGTAAAATAAATTCTCTAGTTCGAAACTTTCAAATTGATTCCGTTATTTATCTATTTAAGATAAAAGGTTCTGTACAAAACTCGGAAAATGTTTAATATTAATTTATAGAGAAGTTGGGGAAGGGGGGAGTAACGAATGTGGCATCATATTCAATTTATTTAAAAAAATAATCTAGTATTTGTATATATATAAGCTAACATATAAAATGTCCATATTCTTAACGCTCCCATATAAAATGCATAAATTCTGGAAAAACTAATTATAATTTACCACATAGACAACGATAAAATTGATTATATCTATTGAAAATAGACTTAAATTAGATAAATTACATACACACAATCAGTGTAAGAATTTGATATCAGTTTTAAATAGCAAATGATTATAGATTTCATATAAAAAATATTTGTATTTGTATTTGTAAATATTTGTAAAAAATTAAATTTAATGAGTGAAAAGAAGTCACTTAAATTTTGATCAGAATTAAAAAAACTGTTTGTTTAAAAGAGAAGAGATTTTAACCTATTCATAACATAACATCGCTGTAAATTTTTCAGTAATTAAATATTCGCTAATAAACGTTACATTTTTTGTTTCAAAAAAAATATTTGTAGCAGCTCAGGCTCAAATTACACGTGCCTCGCGAAAATGGTGTGGTGCCATCATTTTTTAATAATTTTGTATTTTGCTACTGAAATATGCGCTAAATAACTTCCTCTAATTTAATAGCTTGTCCTCTATCAAAAAAATAACAAGGAAGTATGTTTTTAGACAGTTACAGTGGTGTTAACCCAAGCATGACAAAATGGAACTTCCTTCTAAATTCCTCGTGAAATAACAATTTCGTATAGATAAAATCGTAGAAGAAGTTTTTAGTTAATGCCATAAGATTTTTGCTGCTTCACATAGAATATAATATATCTAAAATGGTTCTATCTCCGGCAAATTAGAAAAAGAGAAATTGTGCGGTTTTCTTCTTCACATACAGGCTGTCGACGCGCGCACCACGATATACTGTAGTGGTTTTGAAGAGTAGAAATAAAAAGATATCTATGCAGCTAAAATGTGAAACAATGAGATGAGATGTCAAGTTTATTTTCAGAATAACAACAATTTTTAGCAATTAATACAAATAATATATCTGACTCGTCATTCAATATATGTACAATCTATTTAAAACACTATCTTTAAATAATATGCATCTGATAAAAAAAAACACCTTCAACCGAAAAAATCAGTTTAGGACGCGGAAAATCATTTTAAACTAATTGACAATTGTTCTGAAACATTCAATTGCGGTGAAAAAATAATCAATATTGATTGAAGCTCAAATATAATACGGTACTTTTCGTTGTAGATTCGTAATTATTATTTTTCGTATTAATTATTAGAGGGCTCCCGCGGTTTAGTGGTAAGAGCTGTGGACTTGAATCAAATGTTCCACTAAAACGCACATAGAACATTGTTGTATTGGATTATCAAATAATTTCAGTTGAATTATTAACATAAAAATATATGTTCATAATCCATGTCTTTAAAAATGTGTAGTTTTTTATTGAAGAATTTTGAAACTAATTCATGTGCATGATCACATATCTGAATTGGTAAGTTTTTAATGAAAAATGCTGCAGTTTTTATATGTCCATGACCACATTTTTACAAAGCTTACAAATATTGTTAGAAAAGATAAACAATCGACGTATGCGATTAGCTTAAAATTACCGAATACTCTTTGAACGAATTGGAATTGATCATCTTCGAAGGAAAATTATAATAAAGAATCTTGTCTCATAATTATAAGAATTATATAAGCTAAATTGCAAAATTAAAATTATTTTGTATCCACACATACATACTGAGGTATTCCAAAATGTTCAATAATCTGTTAAATGTAAATATAACATGATATCGATATTTCTATGAAATTAATTCATCTTTAAGGCGAATCTGTCTTTAAGGCCTGTCTGAATGCCTGTATTCGTACGATGAAACTACGATAGGTTTGTACATCGAAATCTGACAACAACGATGGCAACTACATGTTCTCACACGATTACAATTGCGTTGTTGCCAGACTTCGCCTGACGAATTATTACCTGTGTTTTATGAACACATAAGTTAAAACGTTCTTGAGCCTGTAACACATTTGGCACAATGAAGAAATAACAAAATATAGGCAAAACAGTACTATCTGGTTAAACAATTCATTAAGCCATTAAAATACTGCAATTATAGGAATTGGAAAACATTTAATTTTTAAAATCGAAATTGTAATCATTCAAAAGGTCATGATACATTCAATGTCAAAGCCAAAATATTTCACATAACTAATTGTTCAAGTTTAGTGTTAAATATGACAAACTAATAACGCGTCAAAATATGTCTTTAATTCACAAGCTATATTACAATAGTAATTAATATTTATGTAATGTAAATAGTGGCATTTCAAAAATATATTAAATTTTTGCTTATTTTGAATATAGACTCCCGTTTCATGGAATCGTTTTTAAACACTATTGCAATTTCATGTCAGAGTTTCAACTAAATTTTCTACTTTTTTTGAATGTTTTTGAATGAATATTATATATTTTAAACTCTGTTGTAATTTTATATGATGATGATGTCAAACTTACAAATAAGAAATATAGAAAAAAGCAATGCAATTATTCGTGAAATTCTTTAGTAGTGTTGTTATTCTTAATCTTTATTTTTACATCACCGATTAGTTTTGATTCCATTAACACATTTCTAAACTTACTAATTTTGAAGCATTTGAAATAATGCGAAAGTAATTCATCAAACGATTCAAACGCCATTTTGTAGTCAATTAGTACGAATTAGTCTTTGTATTTGTGCGAAAAATTCCAATGGTACTTGAAAATAAGGCAATTTTGGTAAACAATCGAGATAAGAGAAATATCTTATTCAAAAGCAGGTTATTACGAGTTTTTAATATAGAGCAGTAAAACATTTTGTAACGGTACAAGCAAATATCATGCGAATATAAATTCAATTTAAAATACATTGATCGCACAGTCAATATTAATTTTTAATTTTCTGACAAAATTAATGAACTTATCCGAACATAATTATCAATATGCATCAAAGAAACTTGTTCAAAATTTTTAGACATTGCTTAGAGTTTTGGGCGTGGGTTACTGGTCTTACAGCATGGAAAAAGAACAAAATCTTGTACTTAGCAGAATGAAATGAAATTTTGTACAACATCAAATGAATTAAGTTATTCAAATTTACGAGTTGGTAATTAATGGGCAATTTTCATCAATTCTTTTAAATGTAATATGCAATGAGTTTTGTGCACTGAACGAGTAGGTATGAAAAACACTACCGAAAAAAACAATTTTTTTTAAGTCCAGATGTATTAATATCATCTTGAATGGCGTATTGAAAATAGTATAATTACTATAAAGATTTGAAATTGCATTTATTAATGAACTCTTTTTAACAATAAATTTTAGTGACCCAGTTCATTTGCAATAAAATCAACCAACTTAGGATAATGTAAAGAATATTATTAATGAAGATATTGCAATAAAAACAAGATGACACCTCTAAAGATCGACAACCTTATTATAATTAATTAAAATAGAATATTACAGAACTATTGAACTATTTAAATGTAAGCAAAATTTGTTTATTTCGACAAAAAAATCAAATCAAAATATGAATATATGAAGTTACGAATAAAAAAGTACGCGTGTCTGCACATAAAAAAATATTTGCAAGTATAAACTATATCGCCATTTGATGATTTGGCATTTGATGAAGTCACATTCCCAATTATACTGAGATTTGTCTGAATGCGATATTAAGATTGTAATATTATTATAGAACGCAATATACCCGATAAAATTTAAATCGTATATAATGCACAGTCTGACTTTTCTTTGATATTGGCGCCATTTTAACATAAATTCACATCAAATCACATTTGGTCTTGAGTCCATTTGCACAATATTATTTTAAATACTAAATTCATATCACAAATATTATGTACAGTCATGTAGAATTCACATTACACTCATTAAAACACGTAATACTTGTTAAAACACAAACATAACTTTGTAACACTTTACGGAAGAACTGTTTATCTCAATAACGCAATATGATATTCCCGAAATGCACTAAAGGGGACAAGCGCATAAACTTTATTATTGATAATAGCACATTTTTTATTATTATTGAATGTCATTGAACTACAGAACTTTGAAAATTTACGTGGAAAATACAACCCGGGCTCAAAAGTACGCACATATTCAACAATATACGGACCGCGCCAGGGACCGGGGGTCGGGTGGGCGATTCCACTTGACGAGGGGAAGCCGCTTCGAATGCCTCGCTCATGCATACACGACGATGCCTTCCAATTCAAATTTATGTCGATCGCTAATATGCGTTCATCAATTGATAATGAAGCATATCAGAACTAAAAACCGTTCACAATTAAACACAATAATAATTATTTTATTAACTCCAGATGTTAGGCCGATTCTCAACAGCCGGACGATAGTTTTATATTCTACAGACGGCGTGTATCTATAGTACCTTTTTAAAATGGCGGCCGCGTGAAACGAACGTAATCCAACATCATCAGCTTGTTCCACACAAAATTAATATACGACATACGTAGCAGCAAACGCTAACGGCAACCATCATTTTATATCGGTTGAACTTTGTAGATGACGTATGATATTTATAAAACTCTACAATGTTGATGAGATATGTAAAAGAAAGTAAAATAAATAATGGGAATTATTTTGTATCGAAATTTTAGTTTACTTTAAAAAGCTAATGCTATTTAATCAATTGCAAATGCTTTAATTTCTTCTAACATATATACATCACCATTTTCCATTAAATCTACCTTAATTAATTTAACACGTTCTTTATGCATAATACCTTTATTAATATATTTACATTGTTAAGTCTAATTAAAATCCATACTTTTTGGCTACAGCTGTAACCCTTATTTAAAGGAGAAATCTGAATAAAATTTTTTAGTCCATAGGTATAAAAATGTGCCCCATTCTAAAATAGTATCTGAATACACAACTTTTTTATTTTAAAAATAGGAAAGTCTGTCTATCTATCTATCCATCTAACCATTCCTTTATTGTTTCTGTAAGTTACATTATCTCTGTTTTTTGTCATTTATGCAACCAAATATTCAGAACGATTGATGACCAAATCTTGGCCAACTGTACTCAAATTTCGAAAATTAGACAATAAAAAATTCCATGCAATCTTAGTTGAACTTTTTAATTTGATTTAGCATCGATGATGACGAATCATATAACTTAAGTTATAGAAATATTATAAATGAATCGTGACTCACAATTGTGAGAAGATTTTGCTAATTGAACAACTACATTCTATCCTTTTCTTCAGTTATTCATAAACATTTCTTATTTTGTTTATATGATATCGATGCTTGATTAAGCAATTTTATGATTAGAAGAAGATTAGACTTCACAAATGGACAAGCCATCAATGACAAATGTAATATTATTTATTTTCATTTTCAAGTATAATATTTTTGTACATCTCAGCCAGAATGAATTGTCCTGGTTTGGATATGAGAGAACATAAAAAATATCCTATATTTTCATATAGGATACAAAACCAAAACACATAGTTCATATGCGCATGTCGGTGTGAGCACATGCGTATTAATATTATATGCATGTATACATATGTACTAAGTTGTGTACACTTCTTTTATCTATGTGTATATGCATAAGTAGTATGGCCATTGAAAAATTTCAAACGTCATACGTAAAACAAAAATCGAAGATAAAAATATATTTATTGAAGAAGTTATTAATAAAATAAGATTTAGTAGTATAGTCCATTTCATTCGCACCGCAGACAAGAGTGGGGTCGGGCGCCGACGCCATGGTTTAATTGACTCGATTTCGATTCTCTCAAACTGTTTACAGGCAGTTCAGTTGCGTTTGGTTGCGTTGTCTAGGACTTGGGGCCTTCAATGGTCGTATCTTGAGGAAAATTACTAATATTCAACTATTTAGGGTTTAAAAAGATACAATAAAAATGTGACGCTACTACCCATAGCTGAAAAACTATGAGAAAATTATTTCTTTACAATCATTTTAAATAGCAATCGGAACTTCCGTCCTACGAGCTGTTGTGCTCGACCTACTCCTCTTACGCTTTTTTTAGGCGGCAACCCATTGGTTATTCCACAATATTTGATTATTTTAGAATTACATTTGATCTAATGCAATTATTAGTAGCAGCCATGTAGCGGCAATACCGGGAACGTCGATTTTCACTTTGAAACGGTTTATTTGCGGTTTGGTTATGAACTTACCGACATCAAATATCACAACCTTAAATCTTGAAGTCTACAAATAATTTAGTAGATGGTACTACTGCTTCATTGACTACGTTTAATTTTTCGCATGTTGGTTGCCCTTTGAACAATAATGATTATGAATATATCATATTGGTCTAATATTGTCTAGGAATATATTTATTATTAATCTATAATATATACCTTTATTTTTTATTCATTAATTCCAATTAATTAGAATATATCCTATTCTAATATCGTCCAGGATTAATTCCCATGATGGCATCAGAAGGTTATGTTTGTTCCTTAGATTCATCAACAAAATTAAAAGTGACGATATTTTTATATCGTGATGTTCAGAATATATCAGATATTAAACAAAAGTTGTTTAGTGGCGAAATACAATGTTGTATTATGAAGGCAAATTTGATATGCTCACCTAATATTGTAGTCTCCGCTGCAAATAAATCTGCGATGATGGATTCTCAAAACACCCTTACAACGAAATCAATTTATACAGAAATTCTTTACAACTTGTCACCTTCGAGGAATATCACAGACAGTTTGATGAAGTTTGGTATTGACGAAAAGCACAAACATATAGTTGTAGCATTTATAAATAATGTAGAAGACGCTGCCCCATTTGATAATGTTTTGAATGCTATAAATGGAGAACAAATACATATAAACAAATTACATGAATATAGTGATTTAACATTAATTAAAAAAGTTTATAAATTGTCTGAAACAGAATTGCTTGTATCTAGTTTAGAAGATAGTGTTTTAAGTAAATTAAGTATTAAGGATTTTTCTTAAAAATTATTATGTTATTTATATCTTTATGTAAGGCAACAAAATATATTGTGTATTATTAAAAAAAAGTACATTCTTTAACTTATCAATGATCTTGTCTATCAACTTAATTTTTGCCAACAATTGGCATGTTTTATATTTCTTGCTAGTTATCCATAATCAATTAACATAACAAATTAATATTAGAATATTAGAATTCAAACAACTCTTACAGTATGTCTTATTGACAAACTTTAAATGACTATATATTGTTTTATTATAGTAGGCTTATTGGATATATATTTGTGATTTGTTTTTGCTATCCATTAGATTTTTTTGTGGTCTTTTGTGTAGAAATGAATCATGTAATATAATGTCTAACAATGCAATAATTGAAAATAATGAACTTGCGCAGGATGATGCACATGTAAACTCTATAGCTAAAGATGAGAATAAAGAATCTCAATCATCGGTAAGAAAAACATACATTAACGATGCAGTGCAGAAACTGCCTAGTCCAGTTAAAAATCGCATAAAAGCATTAAAAGTAATACAGCAATCATGCACCTTTCTTGAAACACAATTTTATAAAGAAGTTCATGAGTTGGAAAATAAATATCATGAATTATATAAACCTCATTTTGAAAAGCGATGCATGATTATAGAAGGCACATATACACCTACAGAAGACGAATGTGCTTGGGATTTGGACAAATCGTTGGAAGTGACTGATGCAGATATAAAGGTAATAAACACATCATTTAGAATTGTTTGTTTAAACTAAATGTGGAAACATTTTCAGAAGGAGGCAGGAGAAATGCCTCCAGAAGCATACAGTGCTTACCTCGGTGTTCCTGACTTCTGGTTAACTATATTCCAAAATGTTTCTCTCCTATCTGATTATCTTCAAGAATATGATGAGCCAATTTTGAAATTTTTGCAGGATATTAAATTGAGTCATGATATTGAACCAATGGGTTTCACATTATTCTTTCATTTTGCACCAAATCCTTATTTTACTAATAACATTTTGACAAAGAGGTATTACTTAAAATGTGAACTAGATGAAGAAGATCCATTTAAATTTGAAGGTCCTGAAATTTTTAAATGTGAAGGCTGTAAAATTGATTGGAATCAAGAAAAAAATGTAACCGTGAAGCTAGTGAAGAAAAAACAGCGGCATAAATCAAAGGGATTGATCAGAACAGTTATGAGGGAAGTTCCAAATGATTCATTTTTCAATTTTTTTAGTCCACCAAACATTCCAGATACTTTAGATGAGATTGATGAAGAAACACGTACTGCTTTATCAAGCGATTTTGAAATTGGCCACTATCTACGAGAACGTATTATTCCAAGAGCAGTACTATATTATACAGGTAAATATAATTATTTCATAATCATAACATATTTCTTATAAATTCATGTGCTTTTGTATCAGGTGAATTATTACAAGATGAAGATGATGAAGAGTATGATGAAGACGATGAAAATAGTGCTGAGGATGATATTGAAGATGAAGAAGATAAGACAGAGGAAATAGAATACCAGAAAATGAATTGCAAAGATTAAAAAGATTAAAAACCATTTGGGAAATTTATATAAAAATCATATATTGTTCAAATAATAATTGTATCATTTATTATGTGCTTCAGAAATTAAATTAAATCTTGTCCTACCATGGTTCAATGAGTTTATAATTTGCAATGCAATCAATCATCCATTGTAAGGGTAATGATTTCACATGCGGCATATTGTACTTCAATATTGGCTCTGGAATATCAGATCTGTATATAATATAATGCGAGCACTTTTCAAGACAGCTTTTAGAATTAATATGATATGGTCTAGTATTTTCGGCAGGTGTTATCACTTCCGGATTTGGTTCACGTTTCAATAAAACTCCTTCACCATATTCAACAAAGAGGTTGAGTAGATATCTTGATAATGTCATTGAACCAAATTTTGCATCGGTTAATGGTCCCCAGAAATATATATGGCAACCACTAAACAGTCCAGGGAGCTATATTAATACACACATGAAATTTTTATAACATAAATATATCATATATAAATAAATAAATAATACATATATATATATATATATATATATATATATATATATATATATGTCTAACATCAATAAAATTGATTTCAAATACATATTTGGCTGCTCACCCTCATTCAACAGAAAATTACTAAAATTGATTGCATAATTAAAAATGATGAAATGATGATGAAGTATAAGAATATTCTCTAATGAACCGTTTTGTAATAATGAATTTATTATTTATATATATATATATATATATATATATATATATATATAAAGCGAGAGGTTTTTCTTCAGATGGTGAAATAATATGATAAAATTGTTAAATATATATATATATATATATATATATATATATATATATATATATAGTTTTAAATAATGTATAATTACTAACTTGATTCATGTGACTAATTCTAGATCGTTTTGCAGCTTGCGTTTGGGGAAATGATAATAAACCTTGGACTTCAAATTCTTCCATATCGCCTTCTTCATCTATCCCTAATAATACAAAAAAATTATATAATTATTAATACAAAATGTATCAATACTAAGCATATTTCTAAACAAATACTTTTTTTGACTATGAACAAATAATGCATTATAAACCTAGATTATAGATCAATATTTACATTTATCACTAATAATCCATTTTCCAGAAAGCAGGGCTAGAAGTACTGCAATGTTTAGATCACATAATAGATCATCATTCGTCTTAACAATGACATGTGTTACTAATTTATCAAATTTAAAACTTCTCGTCATGCCAGCAGATGATGAATTTATAATCCTCATAAGCTTTTCAATTTTAGAGTTTTGTAAATCTGGACAGTAAAGTACTATTTTTGAAAATTTCTTTTTTGGCACAACCATATATTGAGACAAACTAAAATCATTATTTAATATTTCAGGATCTGGCTCAATGTTTAATATTTCTTGCATACTTTCCGTTTTAGCCAATACCCTAAATAATTAGATGACATAACTTTGATTGCAATAGAAGTAATATATCTGATAGTAATAAAGTACATACTTAGGAGTAATGTTGTATATATTCTTTGCATCCACATTACTGCCATAATCTATCAACAATTTTGATATAATTAGATGATTATTAACGACAGCCATGTGCAATGCAGTGGAGTTCTCATATCCTGGTATATTAGGATTGGCACCATTCTCTAGTAAAAGTTTCACTATTTTTTCTAAACCCCTGTCTGAGGCTTCTTGCTTTTATAAATAAATTAAAACTGTAAAAAATGGTAATTTTTATTAATTCTTGAAAACATACCAAGGGTGTCCATCCAGCATTGTCTTTTGTATTTGGTGTGGCACCAAGGTTTAATAATGCCTGTACTTGTTCAAAATTACCCTTCACACACGCCTCATGTAAACGGGTTTCTCCTAAGAAATGTAAATGTGCAACAATTTCAGCTAAAACAACTTTGATTTATCATCTTACCTTTGCTATTACGCTTCTCAATATTTTTTTCATTTATTGTTGTAGATTTAGAGGCTTTTTGAACTACAATTATATATTGTATATTATAATAATTTATCAAAATGCAATCAATATGTAAACATGTATGCATACATACCACTTGTTTCTAGCTTTGATATAGAAATATCCAATGTTTTTTTTCTTTTATTCTGTTCTCGATCAGATGCTACTTGCCTAAAGTGTTTCCTTTTCACAGTCAAATCTTTAATTCCCTCACTTAATTTAGTAAAATCTTTCATTTTATCAATAATGTCACTAAAATTAAAGTAGATATTACTGAACTATTGTTTCATCAACAATGAACTTGCACAGATATTTACTTTTCCATTTTACGCTTTGAACATGTGAAGTACCAAAACTGGATGAACTTATTTAAAATTTCATCTTCAACAATAGACTTATCACTGTTTAATCCGCATTGAGGACATAATTTGTTGTCAGCTATGTTACTCAAACACTTCTTACAGAATGAATGCTGGCAATTCTGATATTTAATAGGCTTTACTAATATAGAATTACTAAAATGTAAGAAATCATAATAAGTTGTTAAGGTTATTCATGAACAATTATAATATACATAAGAGGATACTTACCAAAGATGACAAGTCATATGTTTTTTAAATGATTCAATCATATTTTGAAGTTTATTGTCCATTATTATAATAAATGTATAATCGTCGAATATCAATTATACTGTGTCTCTAATAACTATTATTATTATATTGTCTAAGGTGATAACTATCTCCAATAAAGTAATGGAGGTTCCTGATATAATCCGTTCATCTCGCTGTCATTTTGAATTTTTACTTTAGTGTCCCGCCAACCAAAGAATATGAACAAAAAAAACGAATAGATATTCATTTATATCACTACTTCTAGATAGATGTCTTTAAATGAATGTCAACTCCATAGATAAATAAACAATATATGATGTAATTAAGAAAGAATTAATTAATTATGAAGAAGCAGAAGGATATTAGATGTATTCATTTATTGGCGCCAACTCTTTCGTATTTAAGAATCACTTTCCAACGTATTAACAAGATTATTTTCAAAATGAATTTATATCCGTAATTATGTTAATCAAGTTTGTTAATACAAGATTCGTTCAAGTTGTTACCCAAGACAATGTAATTTTTACAATAATAAACTTTCCAAATTATTTTTCACCCTATAAACCTTATAATGAATCAGTTCAAATGTTTTATGTTTGTATGGAAACAAGTTTAATCATAGATTAAACAAGTATGAAGTTCAGTATCAAATTGTAAAACATTTACATGAAAAATAATTTTTTATTTCATACTTGATTTTTTTTATTGTCAATAACAATTATTTAATTTAAAGTTTATTTTCCTGTAATTATAATTATGTTACATATGCTTTTAGCTATTTTGATGTATTTCTTGCATTTTATTCCACAAAAATTTGCAAGTTAAAAATATGATTCAGATTTATTTTGATATGTAACAATAGACATTACACCTCAAAAAAAAAATGAAAATATTGTGAAAAAAAATTTAATCCTGAAATAGATTAAAAAGAAGCAGGTGGACCCACGATGAAGCAAATCAAAGTCATCATTTAGTTTAATGTTTATTTTAAATCATAATTTACAAATATGATTCAGGAAATTCAAATGTTACCTCACGTCCTGTCAACTTTTTGTAAACGGAAGTGAACGTATCAACCTGTAAGAATACAAAAAATTATATTGCAAAATAAAAAGCCAGAACAGAGAATGTATCATCTATGAAGCCATTTCTAACAATAATTAGAAATATCCTGTTCACTATTGATGTTAATGTGTGCCTCACTAGACACCTAATATCTAATGTCCGATAGTAGGTAACACTGAGGCAAATGTATCTTTAAATTAACTTACTTTATGTTCAATTGTAGTTTGTTGACTTTTGTCCAAATGAACTTTAATGAGCTGGGATCCATCTAGCTTGACACGGATACGTTTACCAACAATTTCAGCTGGGAATACTAAGTCTTCTAAAATAGCATCATACACAGATGTCAAAGTTCTGTAAAACAATTTTGATAAGGTTAATAATATAATCAATAAACTAGAAATAAATCATTCAAACCAGATAAAATTATAAAATGGCAAATAATATTGGTGAATAATTACTAAAAATAATGTTATGAGGTCTACTTTCAAACTCCACTCATCGAGCTCTAACTCTTGTGGTGTCAGCGAATCCTCATATTTCTTTATGCACTTGCTCATGTAAACGAATAATCCTTATTCATTCAACATAAAGAATGCAGTGCAGAAGTAACATATTTTTACTATTAACTAATAATTGAAATAATATTTACCTGCTACGTGGACGCTTCTGCTTATTCTTAGTGCGAGTTTTACGTGTTGGTTTTGGAAGGATTTTACGCTCTCCAACAAATACAACATGATTGCCAGAAAATTTCTTCTCCAATTCTCGTACAAGGCGAGTCTGTACTTTTTGAAATGCTTTAAGTTTTGGCATAGGTACATAGATGATGATTGACTGCAAAATCAAAATTCACAATGGTTAGGTATATATAATAGTTTGTGTGTGATTATATTGCAAGCTATTTTTGAAAAGTAATGTCATAATTTTGTGTATTTAAAGAAATCTGTGAACTATAACATAGCTCTTAAAAAGTTTCTTTAAATTTACTGTAAGCCCCATAAGACACCAAGAATGCAAGTGCAAGCAATCCTAGTAACACTGGGGCTAAATGCTACCTTTACAACTTACTTTTTTATTATTCAGCTCAATTTCTCTAGCACGAGTTATATGTAAATCCCTCAATTGTGCCTTCAAATCGGAGTTCATTTCCAGCTCCAATAGAGCCTGGGAAATGGAACTCTCGAATGCATCGGGCTCCGAGCCACCGGCTTTGACAATTTTTGTACTGAACATCTGAAACAAAATACTATAAGATTTGCACCCAAGCATTCATGTATAGAGTGATATTTAAAGAGAACGCAGACAAATCACAAAATAAACTTAATTTTGAATTATCAAAATGATAACACTGCGGTATTAAAAACAACAATAATTATATTGAGGTTATTTTGTCACATGTACAAGTTAGAATTCTAAAACATTGACTTTCATCTTCAATCATCGAGAGCACCACTAAACAAATCATGTTCACAAAAGAATTCTTGAACATAAAAAAATTCAAGCGTTTCGTTACATATATTATTTCAACTGACCGCTTTAACTACAATAAATTAATCAGGAAATTATATAGTAGCGTAATACAACGTTAACATACCTCGCTGCCAAAACGAGAAAAGGAATGAGAAAGCAATGTAAAATATTAAAATCTTGATATTCTACATACTTCATGTTGTACACGAATGGCAATATGCAGTGCTGCAAACATAAAACGAATATAGACAACATGCCAAAAACAACTAAGATGTTTGAAATGATGTTCGATAAGAATGCGTTTATTATATAAAATTAATCCACATTACTTAGAGTGACTGTATACTTATAAACAATTTATACTTGTTGTTTATATGTTATATTATACATGATTCAATATGGAAAACAAGAAAGTATTAATGGACATGATTTAGAAATGTGTCATAAAACAATATTAGATAAAGATATTATTGCTAATCTTAAAGATATTGATATGTAATGTCTCAAATGATTTTAAATGATTTATCAGTGATCATATGCGCTTCCTTAGAGTTGAATTCAATTGCAAATATGATTATTTTGAAAAAATGTATTTGTTTCAGATGTTTCAGCATATCAATGTAGCCACAACTGCAATTTTTGATAACCAAGTTCAGAGATATGTTAAAACTCAAACTGGTAATGTATTGACTTGTATGCTTGTTCGTCACAGTTCCCTACTGTGACGTGAAAATTATTTTTTTAGACCTTTGTATAAATGAGATGTTAATAATAACAAAAATTTTCTGTCGTAATGATAACTAAAATTTATTAAGCCAATTGTGATTTCTGAAAATAATAAAAATGTCATCCAAAAGTGAAAAAGACCGAGCAAAACAAATACAAGACAAATGTCAATCTCTGTTGACGACTATGCTGCGAGATGAAGATAATAAGTATTGTGTCGATTGTGATTCAAAAGGTTTCTAAATATTTTTATTTAAAATAAAATGTCCAATACTACTTAATAAGTTTTATGCTTTTTAGATTTTAACAATATACAGTTAGTAGTTACTAGTTTTTTCTTATTAGACTACTAACATGTATGATGGACTTTTACACAAATTGTTTATTATCTTAATATACCATTGTATATATCTTTGTTAATTATTTTAGGACCAAGATGGGCATCATGGAATCTTGGTGTATTTTTATGTATTCGATGTGCTGGAATTCATCGAAATTTAGGGGTACATATATCCCGAGTAAAAAGTGTAACATTGGATACTTGGACACCAGAGCAAGTTGTAAGATATTACAATTATTTATACACATTTAAAATTATAAAAATGTAATGACGAAAGTTTTAAAATTATCACTTAGGTATCATTACAACAAATGGGTAACTCAAGAGCTAGAGCAGTTTATGAGGCCTTGCTGCCAGATGGTTTTCGTAGACCACAAACAGACAGTTCCTTGGAAGCTTTTGTACGAGCAAAATATGAACAAAAGAAATATTTAGCCAGGGAATGGGTGCAGCCTCCAACACCAAAAGTTGACTGGGATAAAGAAATAGACGAGGAACTGGAGAAACAAAAAAAGAAAAAGAAAACAAACACAAATAAAATTCCAACAGTTGTTGCTAATCCAAAACCAGAAACAATACCACAATTGTTACCTAAGCCCAATGCTAAGTTAAGTTCCAGCCCTGTATCTACTAGAACATCTGATCGAACCAAATCAGTAAATGCTGATTTATTGGGTCTTGATACAAAATGTGCTTTTTCAGAAGATTTTAGTGGGTTTCTGTCTGCTGAACCTAATAAGATAGATCCAAAACCCATTGAGAAAACTGACACTTTAAAAGCTGAAGAAGATAATTTTTTCAATCAACCTGTTCCATCAGAGAAAGAGAAAGCAAAACTAACAAAGGATAGTATTCTAGCATTATATGACACAGCTCCTATCAATAATGCTCAACTTCTTCCAAATTCAATGACATTCAATAATTATTCAGTTCCTGTTGGAGCATCTAAAAATTCTTTTCAACAGTATCAAAATCAGCATCAGTTACCTCCACAACAACCGTTTAATGCATTCCAGCAAGTAATGCCTACGCATACACAACTCCATAATACTGTGCCCCTTGTTCAAAATACAAATATGTCATATGCACAATTTAATCCAGTGAATTCACAGCAAAGTAGTAGTAATTTTGGAAATAATCAATTTTTACAAAACAATTCAGGTCTAGTACAAGGTTTTTCTCAGAATAATGGAATGCATTTAAATAATGGCATCCACAGCAGTGTTGGTAATGGTTTTGTTAAACCCGATCAAAGTTTTGGACAGACCAATCAGTATTTGGGTCTGACACAGCAATTTGGAAATATGGGGATGGATTCACAAAATCAATTTAATAGTACTAGCAATATATGGCAATAGCTGCTTAATGTTTGACTGATTTTGAATTTATCTCAATTCAACAAATAATGAAAATATTTTATTCACTATTCATTTTTCAGAGAAATTTACTGTAATACAATTGGAAATTATTCAGATATGATTTCAATTATTCTTATTTACCAGCTCAGTTAAAAACTAGTGGTCGTCATAATGTGCAATTAGTATTATATTAAAATGATTTCAGCAGTGCTGATTTTATAATAAATCTGTTAAAACACATTTAATGTTTATAAATATTGTATTTGTGTAGTTTGGGTTAATATAAATATTAAATAAGGACTTTTTCAAAATGCTTTATCCCATGTCATACTTTGATATTTTATGAAGTCTATTTAGGAAATAAATATTATGTAGCATCAATTTATGTAGTTTTGAAAATTTGAAAATATAAAACGGCAAAAACTTTATGTAAAAAACCATGGAGAAAATTTTTAGTTCTTTTTGATTGATTATTATGTTGATATTGAACATTTATAATAATCTGTCTATTAAAGTATTGAATCAATTAATTATTCTTGTCCATGAAATTGTGTATATCAAAAAATGATTTAAACCAGTTTAATGGGTGCTTTATTGATTCATCATTTTTGCTGTAGTAATTACAATATAAAAAGTGGTATAAAATTAATCGGTTTTAAAGAAATCGGCGTATTAAAAAATAATATTTATAAACCAAGACGTTTGCGAGTTTGGTTAACAGAGCAATCCCATTTGGCAAAGAAAAAGTTGCCAGCGATGGGGTTGCCCATCTTGTATTTGCAAGCGAAATCAGCAATACTAAAGCAGCTTCTGCCATCGGCACAGCTGCTCTTAATTCTAGTTTCATCGAACTTTGTCTTGCAACGCTGTTTGTACAACAGGAACACGTAACGATGCTTTCCTGTTGGTTGTTATAGCAATTATTAATATACGATAATAAAAATTCAAGTACTAAAAGTAGATTCAACAGTACTACGTCGTACTATAATAGCGCAAACACGTTCATTGAAAACACTTCAATTTACTACAACGTACTCCGACTAATCGTTCAAATACTTTCAACTCATTAATTAAGAAATTTAAAACTATTATCGTTTTCAAAGCATACCTGTACCCTTGCATGGAATAGGTCCCAAATAGCCAGTTAGTGTTTCTCCTTTGCATAAAACTGTACCGGGGATGTTCACAACTAACCAGTGTTGCCATTCGCGCTGTTTCGGCTTCTTACGGCTCGGTACATCAGGGTCTATATAAAAAAAAAACATATAAAAATATTATCTTATAATATAATGCTTTCGAATACTTACCGACCAACGCCAAAGTGTAGAAGCACTTCTTTTTTCCTTGCCATTTAACGGTGCAGGGTTGCTTTTTGGCATCATTCGGCGTCAGTTCGTTACCTTTGTTGACCTTGCCGCAAGCATATTTAACCTGATAATAAAAAATGAGGTTCAATAAAATAATAATAAACCAGTTGTGTATGGAATTGCCACCGAATGCAAACTACCGAATAAATTGTCTAAATTCTGTTAAACAAATTTCGAAATTTAAAATTTAGTTTTATAAACAATTGTTTATATTAACTTAAGCATCAGACAAACGTTAGTACTTGGTAAAAAAAAGTTTTGAACCAATATTTTGAAAGTATTTCTTAAATTGTACTTTTTTCATATATTTGAACAACTATAAACAACTTGTGATGATTTGCGATAATGGATCGCGTTTTTATAGCGCATCTAATTAATAATAACTCATTGTCAGTAATTTGAAATAGTTCTGGATTATATTTGTTTTGCATAGAAGTATAATTTAAATTATTGAACTTGAATTTAAAATAACGAAAAATCTGAAGATATTGCAAATTGTATGAAAATATATTATGTTATGACATGGTTATGACTAAAAATTTTGTATATTGATATCATACAAGTTGTTTAAAAATATTGTAAATTGTCCGAAAATGTAGTAAATGTTCTAAAAATGCTGTGTATTGTTTAATATGTTGTAAATTGTCTAAAAATACATTAAATTGTCTGAAAATATTGTAAATTGCCTCAAAATGTAGAAGATGTTTGTAGAATGCTGTTTCAAAATGTTGTAAATTGTCTCGAAAAGTCGTAAATTGTCTGAAAATGTAGTATATATGATTAAAAAATGCTGTATTTTGTCTTAAAATGTTGTAAATTATTTAAAAATATAGTAAAAATGTTGTAAATGGTCTAGAAATGTAAATTGTTTAAAAATATGTATAGCAGATTTGAAAGAGTTGTGAATTGCCGAAAATATTGTAGATTGTTCGAAAATGTTGTAAATTATTTGAAAATATTAAAGATTATCTGAAAATGTAAATTTCAATGTTCTAAATTGTTTCAAAATTTTGTAGCGATTGTCTCTGAAAGTGTTATAAATTGTCTGAATATGTTGTAGATTGTCTGAAAATGTTAGAAATTGTATAAAAATATTGTAAAATGCATGAAAAACTCATGTTGTAAGAAACTAGTGTAATGTGTCTAATAATGGTGTAAATCGTAGGAAATATTATGAATTATACGAAAATAAAAATTATATAAAAATGTTATAAATAAATAATTAATAAATTAAATTCTTTAAATAAAACCTCGGGCTTTCAACTGACGAAAAAATGTTTTCTTAAAGTTCATTTTGAAGATTAGATAATTCCAAGGATTATTGTATAAAATAATTAATTTATGACAATCGTTTAAATAACGTTCAATATGTATATGAGGAATATAGTTTTATATATGACGGTATATTACCATGAGGGGGCACTTGGGTGGCCGCTTGATGACGTCGGGGCAGATTTTGTGTTTTTTCATCGCCTTATGAATCTGCCTGACTCCGGTTGTGCAGACGCTCGGCGACGATAGGAAACCAGACGAGATGACGGCCATCGTCATCGCCGACGACGGCTGAATGATGAGCAACGACGATATCATGATTTTTGAAATTTATCAAATTTAGAAAAATTAACGAATCCAATAAATAACTTGCGGCGAGTATTGTACTGTAATTTGGAAGAACGCGTTGTATTTTTTTCGGTTTTTAAACTTTTTACGGACTTTTTAAATTTGGAATAAAAGTATCATACTGAAAATTTTGGAGTTGGTTCGCGATTTGAATAAATGAATTTGAGTTAGATCGTCATTTAAATTCTGAACAAAATCATTGCACTTGAGTAGGCGAAATAACGCCATCGCAGAAGGTAATTTTGTGATAATCTAAGCCACCCCCTAAATATAATAAACAACACTTAAATTAATTTTCATGTTGGCTTTGACTAAAATGTCAATTTTGAACATCATTAAATTTTATATGAGCATGAGTATGTGTGAGTTAATTTTTGAAATGTTGCCGACATTTTATCAAACCGGCTTAACCAATTTCAAAAATTTAAAAGCCATTCGATAAAATTCGAGCGTTGGTTAATTTTTCCAGAATATCGGCCAAGCAATTTCTTTAGAATTAGCAAAAAGCAAAGATAATTCAAAAACTATTAAAAAGATATTACTCAGAAATCGTGCTGATTAGTTGTTAACAGAGATCGGTTAGGTAGTTGGGTAGTTCCTTCGTAAATGAGCGTTAAAATATTGCGATTTCAATAAAACTTTCTATGACGTTAGAGTTCCTAGTTTTAATGATTATACTAGATGGGGGTTTTATAAAAATTAATTGAAGGTTGAAATAATCATTCGCGCTTCTAGAAAATATTTCATGTTTGTATAATCTATTATTTACACATAACGGGAGGTTTCAGCACGTTGCCTTAAGGCAAAATGCCACTTAAATTCAGTTTCATTTTTTAATTTTGCCACATGCATAGTCCACATATACAAATAATTTTTATATTTTCTTCGCTAAATTACAACCTGTTCTTACAAAACATTCAGTAATTTTGACGATAAAATATAAATAAGGATAATTTCAAAATGTTATACTCAGTATAGAAAGCATGTTTGCTATTAAATTACTTAAAATATTATGAATAAATATATTATGAGCGACCGTTTAGTTTTGTTTTCCGCAAAATTTCAGTGAGCGTATTTGGCTCACTTGTTTTATTTTCAAACAGTCAAAATCAAATCATATGTTCAAACACCCCGCAATAATTTCAAATATTTTCACCGAATGTCCTAGTTATTTCAAAATTTTGAGTGAGCCAGCCTCGTAAAATATAAATAATATAAAATGTCGCTAAAAATGGCGTTGGGCAGCATGCTGCTCAGTCACGTGCATCAGCCGCTTATGAGGCACTCCAAACGCACCATGATGACAAATATCGGAACGACAATGGAGTGCCACCAAGTCATTCCGGATGTTATTTGTAAAGCTCCGCCTTGTAAATTGGAGGTAATACTATCTTATTCGATATAATAATATAATAAAATTAGCAAAGAATATTACATTTTTCATATATTAAAATTAAAATTCCAATCGTCAGGTGTGGTGGCCCCGTGTAAACGTGCAGAGTGGCTTCGAGTTAGCACCTTGCTGGATAAAGACTCATCCTTGCATCGGGTTTCAAACCAAGCACGGTGCATATTACACTGTATGCATGGTTGGTGCGTATTATAAGAGAACTTTTACGCATTATTGCGTAAACTTTATTGAATTTATTTCGATATTATTAATTAATGTAAACTTTATTTTTATCTTTGAATCTATCTTCTAAAAAAAGATTGCAATTATCACAGACCCAGATTATCCGTGCAGAAAAAGGCCAAAATTGCGTGAGTTCACACACTGGCTCGTTGGAAATGTACCAGGAACAAGAGTAGAAAATGGTGATCAATTGGCTGAATACGTACCGCCTGTCCCGGATAAAAACACAGGCATAACAATCATAACTAAAATTATAAATAATAGTGATAATTTATTTTTGAAATTGAATTCCATTCTGTCAGGTCTTCATCGGTATGTCCTGCTGGTGTATAAGCAGCCGTGCTTTACGAATTTCACGGAGTGTAAGATATCGAAATGCACGGCGGACGGCCGGGAAAATTTCTGCATAGAATCTTTTGTTAAGAAGTACGATTTCGGTTCACCAATTGCTGGCAATTTCTTTTTGGCCTGCTGGGATATCTCTGTCGAAAGGACCAAAGCAAGAATGGGGCTCAAGTGAAATAAAGCGAATATCAAAGAATAGTTGACAATTGTTGCATCTATTGTATAAGCTTATTTAATGGAATAATTGGAATAACGACATTTATATTAATTGTAATAGTCCGCTGAATTATTAATCACTATTGTATACATATTTCATCACTCTGCTCATATCATGTTACCATTCGTAAATAGAATCTGTTAAATTGGATATTTGAAACAAAATACAATAATTTGTAGAGAAAAAGAAAACGTTTAATATTTATTTAAAATAGAAAATGTTTATGAATATTTCTTCATATGCTTAGGTACAACTTAGATTCAACCTTATCTGTGTGCTCATCTTCATTATTGCTTTAACGAAATTTAATGCATTTTTGCATACATTATTAAAGATAATTACGTTTTGTCTGCTTTATTTAGAGATATTTTTAATAGGTTCGGAAGCATCATATTTCTCTTCAGTATAAAGTTTAATAATTATGAATTAACTAATAGATAAGCCTAGCTTTAAGTAATGATCACATCATAATTATTGTCCCACAATCAATTAGTGAAAGGAAACTTATTTTTACTAAACTAAATGATATTCAATTCGGTTTTCTCAAGGAAACATTTGTAGATCTCCTATTGCTGAAGCAGTATTTCTTCAGACTATAAAAGATGAAGAAATTGAGCATCAATGGGATGTCGAAAGTGCTGCGTTAGGGTCATGGCATGTTGGTAACTGTCCTGACGATAGGGCTATGGCTACATTGAAAAAGCATAATATTTCATATTGTCACAAAGCACGCCAAGTATGATTACAATGTTTATTTTAAGGATTTCATTGCATAACTACCCCATTGTTTACCCCATTTTATTAGGTTACGGAAGAAGACTTTACTAAATTTGACTTTATTTTTGGTATGGATGAACAAAACATAAGGGATTTGAATCGCAGGGCTCCAAAAAATGCAACAGCAAAAGTAATGTTGCTAGGATCATTTGATCCAGAGGGTGATAAAATAATTAGAGATCCTTATTATGTACGTATGAATTTTTTTTTTATTGTACTTTAATTTGAAGTAACTATGTATAAAATAATATACTTTACAGGATAGTGGCTTGGAAGGATTTGAAAAATGTTATCAGCAATGTGTTCGATCATGTAAAGCATTTTTAACATCACTAAATAAAAACTAGGATCATATCAACAAATAATAGTTTTATTAAAATTCAAACATTGTTCATATTATTATTGAACTATATTTTAGCCAGCTAAGCTCCCAACTGTTTATAGAGTTCTGGAACATAATCATCCCATTGAGCTTGGTATAAATTTCCAGCAATAGGTTGACCTAAATTATATTTCATGGCAAATTTTGCAATACTGAACTGCCCACGATTATCGCCACTTCTGTTAGTCAGTCTCAATTCATCAAATTTTATTTTATCCGGTTGCTTGTAGAGCAGAAAAACGTATCTATGTAATCCTATGGAATACATGGCTGTGTAAGTTATATAAATATATTTGTCAGACGATTTATGAATGTGAAATTATATTCTATGCGATTGATTTAATCTTTTATATAAATATATTTGTCAGACGATTTATGAATGTGAAATTATATTCTATGCGATTGATTTAATCTTTAAAATTGACCACTCAGGATCATTTGATGTCACATGCACATGTTTGCCCTAGGAGCAGCAATATGTCACTAATGTTTTGCACGTAATTGAATTTTCAAGATAAAATACTTCACGTTATACCATATTGCCTTAATTTAAACTATAGACATAAAAGCAATTCAGATGTAAAATACCTGTGCCCTGTGGTGGTCCACTACCAATATATTCAGACAAAGTTTCCCCTTTAGACACATCACATCCAGGAATATTTCCAACCAACCAATGATGCCATTCACGAAATTTGGGATCAGCTCGACTTGGGGCATCTGGATCTAAATATGATGATAATTAGACAAACAAAAACTTTCTTAGTATGTATTAATTTATACCTGTCATGCAAAGAGTATAGAAAGTTGCTGGATCAGCTTCCCATTTGACTGTTGGAATATCTTTGACTTGTGTTGGAGTCAACTCATTACCTCCATCCACTTTTACTCCACTGGGATAACATACCTCTAATACAGAATTTGGAGGTTTTGGAATAACATCAGGAATTACACAATGTTTTTCCATCGCTGTAGACATTAATCGTATAGCAGATGTTAAAATTGGCCGAAAAGACATAAATGTGCTGAAAATTAATACACTTATTATGGTATTTGTTAAAATCATATTGAAATAAAGAATGATTTTTAACCAGATTTGAATACAACAAAAATAAAGATAATGATTTTTAGATTATGCTAATACAACTAAAATATTATTAACCTGATATGAAAACCGGTATAACTATTAAAAATTCATCATAACAGGTTGCACACAGTATGATTTTAACATCGTTAAGCAATACAAATTGCATATTTAGAACATGCAGACTAAAATTGAAATGCATGCATTTATTAATGTGTCATGAAACCGGTAATAACTATGATTAATGTATCAGAAATTGCGCACAATCGGTTTTGATTAACTTCGGTCACGCGATATCAGCATCAAATTAAAAATGACATTGACAGAACAAGCGCGATAAACAACCGGACAATTACTAATAATCAATATATTTAGTATGTTATTATTATTTTGATTTACTTGCCTTTGATTAATGGTTGCTTCTTGCTTCCACTAATTAACGATAGCGACGAACGATTACGACTACTGGTGGTGCCTAATGATATCAAAAGTTATTGAAGTATGGTCTGAAGTTCTCTTAGCAATAAATAATCTGTCAACTTTCGTACCAACGTATAAAAGAAAAACAACCTACCAATCGCTAAAAATAAAAGAAAAATTGAATATCTTTTGAAATATTTTTAAAAATATCGTTTGAATTAAAGAAAGAGTATTTATACATATATAAATAAGCATGCATGATTACTTATTTTGTTAAAAAGCTTACATAAAAAATGTTTTTCTATTTGATCTTTTGTTTGCTAACTTTTTTACATTCATGTAATTTAAAAATTTAATTGATTCTTGCAATTTTGCTTAACATTTTTTAAATTTGATATTTAAAAATTTATCTAAAGTTATGTTGTATATTCATGCAAAAGAAAAAACATTACAAATTGTATATACTTATTGTCAATATGATACAAAATCTTTAACAATCGTCCTTGATATCAAAATAATATATATTTATATTCTATGTAAATCTATATTAATTTTGCATATGTATTTTATTTAGATGACTAATCAAATTATAATAATCAAAAACATTATGTATAAAAATATTCTAACATACTTTTGGGTTATAATTTTCAATATTACAAAAATAATAGTCTTAAAGAATCTTCATTTAAAGCAATTAGTAGCATTATAGCTCCCCCTAATGATATGCCACAAATTTGTGTCAAAGTACTACTTAAAATATTCTTATTTCCTTCGGCCATTTCTGGAACTAAATCAGCCAAAGCTATATATAAAAATGATCCAGCAGTTGCTGCATAAATCCATTGTGATGCAGCGGCGTGCCCACTAGTTACTAATAAACCAATAGCCATACCAATAAAACTTAAAATTGATGACATTACATTGAAATATAATACTCTCTTTACACTATATCCTACTCTTAATAACACAGCAAAATCACCAAACTCATGTGGAAGTTCATGACACAAAACTGCAATTGAAGTCGCTATTCCAGTAACTGAATCATTGCTAAAAGCAGCACCTATAGCTAACCCATCAGTCAAATTATGCAATGAATCACCAAGTATGATCATTAATGCTATCGGACTGAATTCTTTTTTAGTATTGTTTTCCACAGTTGTTAACATACTGCCAAGCTCTGGCTTTAATTCATGTGCATGTCCATGTCCATTTCCATGTCCATGGTTATGCAAATTAAGTCCATTATTGAAGATGGGTAAAAGTGCTTCTAGCGCATAGAATAATAAAATAGTTAAAAATGTTAAACCACATTTATACATAGGAGTATGGTGGTCCTCAGGTGATGATGACGAAGTGCCATGGCTGTGATCATGTGGCATTAAAGCGTGTGGTAATAAATGCATTAAGGCATCTCCACAAAGAGTTCCCACAGCTAAAGCTACAAGAAATCTCAGCAATTGAGGATAAGCAGGACTTCTTGAGAAAGGTACGATTGCTACTCCAAGCAAACCACTTGCAGATATAATTATAATACTGATGCTGGCATACAACCAAGCTGGAAGTAAAATATGCACATTGACATAACAAATCTTTAGAAAATTGAAATTTGCATTGATAAATTTAAACTCACCTAGATGCAGTTTTGGTGCAAATGAATCATTTGATTTCATATTGTATGCATCATGGACTTGATTATGTAGACTAATATTATTATCATATAACATGTGTTTATTTGTGATGCTAGTCAAATCACTGTAACATGATTTTCTGTCCATTTCATAAATTAAAGCAAAACATAAATATTCAAACACTGTTAAGGAAATTTTATTGTTGGAATCAAAGTCTTTTGTCAAATCTACATTAAAACTTGTTTTGAACTTTTCATTGTGGTTTTTCACAATTTTTTCTATTTCATATGTATTGAGGCACCTATTAGCACTTTCTAAAATGTAAATACGGTAATCAAAATCCTACGCATTCAATATCCTACATGATGACTATAAGAGCACAATATTGGACAAATATTCATTATCTAAATCATAAAGCTAAATGAAATAATAAAATTTTCTACCAACCAAAATCTTGCTGTTGTATGACATCGTGCCATAAATCTTTCTGGTGGGCGGTATTATTATTATTTTTATCACTATTGGCATGTATATTTATTTCATTCTGGTGTTGAGATGCATTTACATGTTTTAACAAGCCAAGGTTTGACACAAGCATTTCAAATTCCTAAAATATAATTTAATAATAAGTCAAAACTGTAAAGAATAAAATTAGAATCCTTACTTAAGGACCTTAATGAGAATTAAAAATAAAAGCGTAATATGCAAGATGACAAAAACATCTACTACTTATTATTTTGAATTATGTTCTATTAATTATGTTGTAAATGTAGGTAAACAACTGGCAACTGAAGTGAATTGAATTTGATTTGTCATTTGTGAATTTTATCAAACTATCAAAATCTATCACAATATCAATTTATTTAAATAAGTAAACTTGAACAATTTTTTAATTATATGTTTTTAATAATTACATTTATAAATCTCAAATACTTATGTTATTTAAAATATTGAAACAAATAGAGTGATCAATGAAGTGAATAATATTCGCAATAAAATAGCAATGTTTCTCATTTTAAAAAAGAAACTAGCATTCAATATAACTTTAAATAAATATAGTTTTAAGTAAAGAAACTAACATATAATGAGACTGAATATTTGTGTTATTTAAGTAGTTCAAGTTCCAAATATAATGTAAATACAAATGAACAAAATTTAAGTAATTGCAAATATAATAATAATAAAACAACATTGACGCTCATTTCGAATTTAGTATCAATTACCATATACCAATGTCTTAATACCTGTATGGTCATAAATCCGTTAACACCGCCATATTTCCGAAATAATGAATCGGAAAAGGAGTCCGCATCCCTGCTGTAGGAAATCGGCGAGGCGGAAACGTCGTTAACGTTTTCCGACGGGGCCGACGTTGACGCCGAACAGCAGCAGATGCAGGCACAGCACATGACCAGAACTAATTTCCGCTTCGCAGACACCATATTGACGCACATCAGACTCGGCCGGCGATGGCAACAATCGCTGTTCAACATTAATGAACGTCCAGAACCAAATGATGAAGATTTCTGAAAATCTGCGCGCGTAAAACAAATAACTAAGGTAATTGTTTATACCATTTTGAATGAAAATTAAGATTATATATATATATATATATATATATATATATAAAGATAATAATAATTATTTAAATCTTTATCACAAAGTATACATTTGCACAGCAACTGTATCTTGAACATGTACAATTATATGAGTGATTTAATTCTCATGTTTGAACAGGCTATCTTGAAAACGCGATTGATACTGACTGACAAGTCAATTAAGAGATGAAAGTATGTCTATGTATACTTAAGTGGTTGTTTTGATTTTAATAAAAGCATAATAATTGCTATTTATTAAAAATACAATCAATGCTCATTGTATATTAAACTTCTTAGATAATAATAAGTTTTGTATAAAAATAAATATTTGTTGATATTGTTGTTATATGAAAAACACTATTATTATTATTATTAAATGAATTTTAAATTGAAGTCATTTATTGTTTTTGAACAACGTTTTTGATGTATGATGGATGTCTATGTATACTTAAGTGGTTGTTTTGAGTTTAATAAAAGCATAATAATTGCTATTTATTAAAAATACAATCAATGCTCATTGTATATTAAACTTCTTAGATAATAATAAGTTTTGTATAAAAAATAAATATTTGTTGATATTGTTGTTATATGAAAAACACTATTATTATTATTATTAAATGAATTTTAAATTGAAGTCATTTATTGTTTTTGAACAACGTTTTTGATGTATGATGGAATTAATTTAATTAAAATCAACAGTGATATGGGATTTTTATTATATTTATTTATAAAAAAATGCATTCAAAGAGAACAGTTGATATTCATTCTTACATACAATATAAGAAAATATAGTAATCTGTGCTTTTGTGATTTCATTTGCCTGAAAACATTTTGAACTATTATATTATACATACATACTGAGATAAAAATGTTATCTCCGTTTTAAGATGCTTGTTATAAAATTCTTGAAGTAGTCGTACGGATTTTATTGAATATTGAAAGCAAAATGTTTTTGCAGTTCATAATTATTAATTAAAATAGTTTAGTTATAAATTTCACATAATAAATTCGCAAGTCTAAGAATAAATAAAGAAATTGATGTATTTGAAACGATTAATTAAAATTCCGAAATAATATTTTTCAATTTCTTTGCTATGACATTTATTGAATTAATTGGCTATGAGGCAAGATGATTCGAATTAAATATAATGTTTGATATAATTGCATAAATGCAAGTCGGTATAGCAGATAAGAAAAGTGTGAATAGAAGTTCCCATATGTGTTTTATTTCTGTCATGTCCAAACTTATGCCAGAGGTATCGATTTACAAGATGGCCTTCGTCGTAGTAAATGTATTATTGTAAATCCAAAACCAACAAATTTATCAGAGCAGAATATAAAAGCTTATCAATCAAATAACCCAATATTGCATACACTTCGTATATAACTATTGAAGATATATTATAGCAATCATTCATCTCTTATCTCAAAGTCAAACATTATTACTCACCTGAATTAGAATTTTTAAATAGCACATTAAATAAATTTATCGTCATACTAATCCAATCTATTTGACGGACAAAATTTGATTTCGGTCGTCACATAATTCACTGAACGTAAAAATAACTTATTATAATCTTTATGTCATGTTGAATTTCCGCTCTTATATCATAAGAATTTTATTGCACGCATTCTTTATGATTGATGCTGTCAAAAAATATTACGCACATTAAACGAGTTAAATCACGAGAAGAGCGACATTTTTACTTCAGCTCACTTGTGGATTATAGGTTAGACATGGAAATTGTGAAGTATGTCACAGGCACGCCGCACGGGACACCTCACATTCAGCCATTCAGGGATCATACAAGTGGCGACCGTGCGAAGCGCGAGCCCTGCGCGAACCCGCAATCCTTTCAAAACATTAAAAAATACTTTCCGCCATAATATAGGTTTCAGTTTAAATTTACAGTATCATTTCAAATTTAACTTTTAGAACAGAACAATGTTCAAATACTATATCTGAGTATTATCTGACCAATACTGCTAGATCTATTACACTTATGCAGTCATCAATTAGTACATAAAAGAAAATAATATAAGAAAAAAAATATTATTTTCTTCATTCAAAAGAAGCTATGTAAATATTAATATAGCATAAATAGAAAGATTCACATAATTCACATATTTCTTTTTCTAATACACACATATGCACATATTATACATCTGAATTTGCATATTTAAATAAAAATATATAGAAATATAAATTATTTGAGAGCATGACGTTAAGTAAAAAATGACTGATGAAAAACACTAATTGTCAGCAACTATTTTTAAATAATATTTCAAAGAATAGTAGAAGACGCTTACAAAATAAATTTTGACTCTGATACAAGCTTTACAATCTCTTTTTTTAAATTTATGTTATCCCCTCCAACAATTTATTCAGTATATATATATATATATATATATATATATATATATATATATATATACATTCAAAAAATAAATTCATTTATATGAATAATTATTTTGATTATATATATATAATCTGCTTATATATATATATATTTTAGGGTGGTCCTTAAAATGGTCATTTTCAAATTTCCTTGCTCCCAGGGGCTCAAATGGTTCCAAATAGATAAAAAACAATTCTCTGAAAGTTTTAGCTCTTAATATTAACGTTTAGATAGAGCGCAATTCAATCAAAGTTTTGTATGGAAATAGCATGAAAAATTTTTCAAAAAGTTTAAAAATGTTTTTTAGATGTAATTTAGCGAACAAATGAATGAATAAAACTCATTCATTTGTCGCTAAGTTACGCCTAAAACACGTTTTTTTAATTTTCAAATTTTTTTCCATGCTCTTTCCATACAAACTTTGATTGAATTGCGCTCTATCTAAACGTTAATATTAAGAGCTAAAACTTTCAGAGAATTGTTTTTTATCTATTTGGAACCATTTGAGCCCCTGGGAGCAAAGAAATTCGAAAATGACCATTTTAAAGACCACCCTAATATATATATATATATATATATATATATATATATAATATATATATATATATGTTAGTCCATCACTATATTTATATGTATATCTATTTTTTCCTTTCTCCATCTGACATGTGTTTTAAATAAAGCAATTGCGCTTTACTTTCAAGTATTCCAAGTTGCTTCACTATAGGTGCCATTTGACCCACGTGATCTTTGTAACCAGTACCCATATTTAACTTCTTCTCTCCATATGTAACTTTTCCATCAAATTCATTACAAGGAATTTTCATATCTTTCTCTACTTGCTGTATTGTCACATTAAGATGTTCTTCAATTTCAGCAAGATACTGCAAAAAAAAACATTACATATATAAATATCTAATTAATATCATTAATACACATGCTAATATTCTTTTTATACCTGTGGCTCATTGTACCACATGCAGCATCCCCTATTTTCAGTTAAGTTAGTATTATAACAGTTTCTGCCTCTGGATGAGCACCAGCTCCCGTGGTACCATACCTAGGATTATTTATATAAATATCAAATCAATCTTCACCACGAATGTATAGAATGTTCAGATTATATTTCATTAACTGCCTATGTTATGATGCTAGTCTTTTTGAAGGGATTATTACCAAACATAGTATTATGCTTACTTTTTCAGGAACACTTGACACTAAACTTATAGCTAAACCCATACGCTCAGCTCTTCCAACACGTCCAATTCTATGCACATAATTTGACTTTTCATCAGGCAATGTTATATTAATCACTATAAAATGATAATAACTGTAATCTGCAGTGATTATAAGAAAGATAATGATAATACATTTTAAATAGCTTACTAAATGGCAATCCAGTAATATCAAGTCCTCTTGCAGCAACGTCTGTGCATATTAAAAACTTAACTAACTGCTGTTTAAACTTTTCAAGGTTGCTTTTGCGCTCTTGAGGTTTGCGATCACCATGCAAACACACACAAGAAAATTCTCTAGAATTTATTTGCTTAAGATAATTTTCTAGATTATCACAATCTATCTTGGTACGACAAAAAATAATAGCTCTGAAAGAAAAGAAATAGATGTTATTTTAAAAAGGATGTCATAATTGTACAACAATATCAATTTCTTTTTGATTTAATACCTATCCATTTTATGTTCCTTTATAGCACGAACACAATATTCCCCTTTTAATATTTTTACAGCTTCAGAAAGTGTTTCAGCAGTGTTGTTACCAGGGCGAACATTATCTTTAGAGTGAACACCATCAGTTTGTATATGTCTGCCCATTGAGTGCCAACTGAAGTACAACAATTTCATATAATTATTAATAAATTATTATAATATTAGATTTCAATTTTTTAATAAATACCTTTTATCACTCTGAGGATCAACCATCACAACAACATGATGAACAGTTTCAGGAACTGCATCCTCACCTTTTAAATCGACCCATGTAGGAAAATGCATGAGCTTTTCCTGAGGGAAAAAGGATAATTATAGTACTTATAATAAATAATAATTAATATATATATATATATATATAATATATATATATATATAAATATACAATATCAGAATATATCACCAACTTACTGCCATTTTTTTAACTTCAAATGCATGAAGTGTTGCACTGCAAACTATCATTTGCAAACGTCTGCCATCTGATGTTATTTTAGGTATTTGCTTATGTAATCTATTATTGAATATAATTTAAACATTACCAATGAAATGATTATGAAAAATGATTTTAGATAAATTAGTGAATTACCTTTCTATTAATTCAGTATATCCCTGCTTCAATAAACCATCTGCCTCATCTAATACAAAAAATCGGCAATGAGTTAAAGCTAAATATCCTGTAAAATATAAATCTTTGAATACATATTCAAATAATGCTAAATATCAATCAGTATCTCTGAAATACCTCCTTGAATGAGATCTTCTAAACGACCAGGTGTGCCGACTACAATATCAACACCTTTTTGCAAAACAAACATTTGATCTTTAACACTTACACCTCCAATGACAAGAAGTTCTCGAACTTCAGGAGCTCCTAGATATTTTTTAAACTTGATTATTTGATTAAATGTCTGCTCAGCTAATTCTCTGGAAGGCTGAAAAAATTAAAATATTTTAAGTTTAGAAACATTACAGCTGCAACTATAATAAATATTACCTCCACAATAATTGCTTTAGGAGCATCAGGTATTCTAGTTGAGTTATCACCCGATGAAACTGATGTTTGACCTACGCAATTGGTTTTAGTATTTTTAGCATTCGCTATCGGAATAGCACCTTGTGGAAAACTGTATTTGAAAGGAGTAGCCCCAAAATTAAATGACATTTCAGCATTCTACATAAATGAACACAAAAAATAAACACATTAAGTTTGAAACATTTACAAGTTCACAATTATACAATTTATTACCTTTAGTACGACTGATGGAAAAAAGGATTCACTTTTTAAATTCTTTGGAAGAACAAAAGCTGTTCCTAAATCTTTACCATTTTTATAAAATCTGTAATTATTCATATATATATATATATATATATATATATATATATATATATGTATATATTAATCAATATCGTTTCATTGCTTGTCTTACCTAATTTCGCCTTTATCAAAATCAATTAGTGATCCAATGACATCATGCATTCCAAAAGATTCACCATAATTATCAAACTGCTTTGAATTAGATTTTTTGCCAGTGCCTCCAAAGCCAAAGCTAAATTTATCAGTGCCTAAATCTAAAGTGGCCTAAAATAAACATCTAAACTCTAAACACTTATATGTATTTAAGTAAATCATTAAATATATACATACATATTATATACACATAAAATACATATGTATACAATCAAATTATACTTATATTTGAACATGATTACTTGCTGTGTAGACCAGCCTATTCGGCAAAGACCCTCGTCAGCTACAGAAGCTTCGTAACAATAAACACCAGGTCCAAAAACTCCCTTTGTAGCTCTACCACCATGCCATTCTTTAAATTCTCGAGATTGGCACCGTAAACCATCAGGAGTAACAGCCAAGGCATCACCACGATCAAAGAAACTTAGCAGGCAGTGTGGTGCTGTAAGATTTAAAAAAATATATTCAATAAAGGTAACTTTCATAATAATTTGGTTGTACTTACAGCTTTGATTCACCATTTTATTTCCCTTTCCTTCTGATATGTCCTTCAAGGTTTCATACACAATTTGTATTATTGGTAAACAAAATGCCCCAGTTTTACCTATGTTGTAAATTATATGCATTATTATCATAAAAAGATAATTGTATGTAGAAAAACAATAACATATTGTCTTTTTAAATGTTTTTTAATGATAAATTCCAACTTACCACTACCCGTTTCAGCTGCCATAAGCACATCACCACCGCCCAATATTAGAGGAATAGCTTCAGCTTGCACATCAGTAGGCAGCCTATTAATAAATGTTTCAAATATAGAAGATAATATTTCATCAGATATTAAAAATAAGTCAAAAATCATATCATTTCAAACTTGAAGAAATGTTATCATGATTCACATTTCTATATGTTTACAAATCCAAATAAATAATATCATCCTAACGAATGCTATGTCAGGTTACCAGAAATATCAATACGATACATGAATTAAATAATGTGCATATAGCTAAGATTTGTCACGTCCAATATCATCAATTATACAGAAGTTTATGTATTTTACTAAAAATAATGAAGATCCAATTAGTTCTTACGTCCACTCCATTTCTTCAACCGCTTTTCCGATTTCAGGTAGAACACCGAACTCTGCAAAATTTAGGAGTATTAATACATATTTTATAAAATATCATACATACATATGGGAAAAAATTAGATTGATACCTTCAAACGCAGTCATTTTTAATTATTAAAATACACTTGCTCAAAAACAGCAGGGAAACTAATATCAATTACGTATTAAAGCTTTTATAAAAATCTTCAATTTTATTTGTTTACAACAGTTTTGTTTCGCTAATCATTCGTGAAGTTTAATTTATAATAATTGTTGCCGGTAACCATCAATAACCACGGATGATCATTTATGACAGTAGCAAACTTGCTGTAAATATCGAATTACAGGTAGATGGCGTTCATGCTTGCGCGATTGCGCAATTCTGAAAATGATCATTTTTTATTATATAAATAAAACATTCAACGATGATTTACACAAAATCAAGGTTCCAATAAATAACATACATACAATATAATTTCTCTTTTTCATAATTAAAAGAATAGTATACACGGAGTTACAAATGGTTACAAAATGGATAAAAATATAAACAATGGCGCGCTAAACCGTTATTATGTTGATATGAAACTATTATTGGTCCACTGTTCGACGAATCAGAAAGTTCTAATTGGAGACCGAAAGCGCGTTGTTTTTAAAAATGTCAATTTTGTTTGTGTATAATAACATTGTATTGTTATTATATTTTCTAGGTAGATAATCCTAGGTAGGTATAGTAGTGTCCGCCCACTATCTAAATATATTTATAAGTAAACCATAGTTAAAAGAAGAGCATTAAGTAAACCTTAAACAATTATAATAAATGTTAATTAGGTGTTATCAGAACTCTAGTGTATTAGTTTCTTTGTTGCCAAATTATGGTTGGGTGGCTTTTAAGAGATATGGTTATTTGTAACGAACCACAATTTAAAAATATCTTAAAACTTGAATGAAATATCCAGCATGTTTATTTACTTTCCATGTAATACCTTCATAAAATTAACAAAAATATTTAGTTCATTTACAAAAATAGGATACACACTTTTATAATAAATATGCTGCCTAATTATTTATTTAGTTAAAAAATAAGAACTATTAAATATATTAAACAATATGGCAGTCAACATAAGAATACTATATAATACTATAGCAGCCCACCATAACTTTTTCTCCCAAGGACGGACATCAAGATTCCTTAAAACGCCGATTCCTACAAGAAGCCCTAGAAACATGAACAGAACTAGAATAAATATCATAGGTACATAGTTTTTTTTACAATATTTTTATATATCACCTGCAATTGCTCCAGATAAATGAGCCATGTAACCAATTGTTTTATCCACATTAGCAGTAAAGTACGAGTACACAATACTGCCGACATCAACAAGTATTATGACCAAAAACACACAAAGCTGCAGAAAGGCAAATTCCATTTCCTTCCAGTTCTGTGATTAGATATTTTTAGGTGCAAATATAAAACCAGTGAGACATAAATCAGATTAATCAGTTATATACCATAACTATTGTGGCAACATGCGCTGTTATCAGTGCATACACACCTCCAGAAGCTCCAGCCAGATAGACACTTGGATCAGTAATTGATGTACCTAGAGAACCGGCAACTACTCCACTCAAATAGATTATCACAACACGCCACCAATGATGAACACACTCCAATGCCACACCTAGTAAAATCTGAACTAGCAGATTTACAATTAAATGTATGTACCTGACAAAAAGGCTTATTATTATCAAGTGTACTGAAAAATATTACAAATCAGTAAGATCAGAAAATCAATATACATAATATTTATGTACAATTGTAAAAAGCAAGGGTATCACGTATATTTGTAAGCAATTAGATGGACTTTAGTGTTTTTCAAAATTCTTTTCTGTTCCATGGAAAAACAAAAGCAATGTCTTTGAAATTAAAACATAATTTGTATCAATTTATTCTTTTTCACAATATCAAAAATCACATTGTATTCATACATTTGTTAATTATCATAAAGTCTAATTTCCTGAATATTAATCTATTACTTTATTTAATATTTTTTATATTTACATACCCGGCATGAACAAACATGTAAGTTGCAAATCTCCATGCTTCATATCTTCGAAATGGATTGTATATAAACAAAGTTGCTAATGGTCCTCGAGTAGTGACTTGCCCTTGCTGGTCAATAATATCACAAAGAAAAAATACTATTTCTATAATTGAAAACAGTATCATTGAAAATGGGGGTGGACAGCATGAATATTGGTCCTCATAATCTCCATCTGAAATTTTTTTTGATAAAACACACACACACATAATATATATATATATATATATATATATATATATATATATAGATATATATATATTATATATAGATATATATGAATATGAACGGGTATAGGGTTAAATACATAACAAAACTTCGAAATAATAAGCATGATTAGTGTAAAGTGAAATTATTATATAAAATAATTCTATGTTATAAGAATATACTCTCATACATTTTGTCATGTATTTATATGATCTGACTCAAATTATGGATGAATATGCTAACACATAAACATGAAAAGATTATACATTTACAGACGTCACTTTTAGCAAATTTAACTATGTTAATTGCTTACTGACCTCTGCGAGCTAAATTGGATCTCGTATTACCTACAGTGTCACCATGTCTTCGGGGCACCACTCTTAGAACATATTTTTCCATCAAGAAGCGATGAATCAAGTAACCAAAAATTGGCCTGGCTTTCGGATGTCTGATTAATTTATGAAATTCATCAAAGTTCAAATATCCTGATTGATCTGTATCTCCCAAAGTCATTAGATTTCGAGCTGTGTGTGGGGGTAAATCATTCTCATATTCTCGGCTGGTGATAATAGCCTGCAATTCCTCAATTGATATTTTTCCATCGCCATCAGTATCATACTACAATGAAAAAGTTTAATATGTAATAAATTGAAACAATACGTTATTTGAATGTAAATTTACCTTGTTAAAAAGCTGGCGAACGTATGCCTCAGTTTCCGATAAAGGAATTGCATCCCCACGCTCCCCCAATGATATTTGATGCTGAAGGGACATCGCAGCCAGAATCGAAAAATAGTGAAATATTTATTTCTACTAAAACATGTTCAAGAATGAACGAGTGCGCCGATATTAATAATAACTTGTCTAATCATATAAATATGCCGAAAACGATAATCAATAGATAATGTTATCATAGTCTGAATCATCAATCAGGGAGCGGCAGTTGTATTAAAAAAATTTCTTAGTGGCGCGATGTAGAGCAGAATGAAAACATTCAAGTGGCACAAAATATTATTTACTTTGTTTAATATAGTGTGCATTGTTTAATATACCAAATAATGTAAACATAAACGGTAGGTGTTAATTAGGCGAACTGTTTATCGATATGCAACGTAAGTAGAAAATCGGCTCAGGTAGAACAGAATCAAGAATCAACTGGCCTCAGTGGCTTCTCGGAACGTCGCAACGTCGCAACGTCAGAAATATCAGAAATACCGCGATCGCAAACCTAAAACATGCAAGGAACGAACGCGACCGAACAGCAGACACGCAACAGCTTCAATACAAGTGCCGATGCCGAATTGCCGAATTGCCGAGTTACTATGGAATTGTTTATTCGTAAACAGAACTGTAATACGAATACGACTACATCCAACTACTAACCATTGTTTACATGTTTACATTGTACATTACAATACGAGCGAGAATACGAGGCTGGGAGTGGTACAGTGGTGGTATTGGTGGCCACTGATCACACTTAATGGTTCGGACTTTGGGAGCCAGGGAAGCTAACCATTTCAACATGTGGTTTGAGTCTGAGCGCACACACGACACATCCGACACCGACACCGACACCTATGTCTTTCTCACACATTGTGAGTCTAGCCGTTAAAATTTTAAATACTTTTATACTTGGACTAGTTTTTATTGTACTTTCTATATAATTTATATGGTATAAGAACATTCTACTTATTTTATATAATTTATATAATACATTAATATACATTATCATTCTTTCGAAACGTCAAATTTTAAAGTCAGTGAGTGCTTGACTTAAGATATTCATCGGAAACTGTGCGCCATTGCTTTTCTACAGCTTCATCAGACAAATTCCAAATCTGTTCCAGTAAATCCCAGCCAACTTTTTGCGTTATTAATACATAATCGTTGCTGGGGTCCTGCGTATGAGAATAAGCCCCCAATACCAGTGACTGGCAAAGCCTTGCCGCTACGCACGTCTGAGAAAATAGGTTAATAAATATATTATTTTTAATTTACTGAAACACAGCTCTAATTCTTATTGATAATAAGATGAATAAATCTTAGAACTATTTCATCTATATCATTGACAATGATTCATTGTTACTGTTTTGTACCTTTAACATTTGGAATTCAATTAGTGGTATCTGCCTGACAGTAGAATATCCTGCAATGACAAGACCTCCCGTCGCCAAATCCTTTGTTTGTAGCATCATATAAGTCATCGTAATAGCCAATTCAAATACATAATATGACAACTGTGAATCACCGAAATCTAGGACTCCGCTGACGCGAAATTCGCCCTCCTTATTTCCGCGATTTACAAGAATATTTTGCTCATTGAAATCACCGTGGATTAAACCTGAAACGTATTATTATTATCAAATTTTTCACTTAAATGTATTTAATATAGTTCTAACATAGATTTTAAATGTCATATCATTGAACTAACTACATTGAATAGCATACAAACTATTAAAAATCTGATTAATAATAATACATAAATTTCAACTACAGTAGAACTCCAATTATCCGAACTCCGACTATCCGAATCGCCGATTATCCGAATCACTTTCAGAAAAAAAATTGTCCAAAAAAAGTGTAAGTGCGCTATCATGCTTCCACCCGCGAAGCAAATGTAGGCACATTGTTTGTTTTGACATTACTTACATTGACGGAGATGTTTAAAAAACAATGATTTTTATTTCTAAACTTGTACATAAGTACATTTCATCTATATTTAAAACATGTGAAAATGTCATGTTTCTTTCATTTAATTCAATAAAAAAATAGTGCAATATCAAAACGTAACTTTTTTCTCTCCAATGGCAATTTTAAAAAAAACTCCGATTATCCGAATGGGTCCCGGTCCCCATTAATTCGGATAATTGGAGATCTACTGTAATTAGAAACAATATTTTACTTGATTGTACAGTACGTTAATAACGATTTACCTTTTTGTAATTCGTTAGATTTGCTCAAAACATTTTTTTTGAAAGATTCTAGCACCTGCTCGATTAATTCCTTTTTTGAAGTATCTTTAATAACGTAGAGAAATTCATCTAAGTTTGGTGTACTTTCCAGCATCCACATTGTGCGATGGCTTTCATAAGCTTTATGGCTGAATTTCTAATAAAATATGATAATATGAAATATGATAGTAATAATAATTGATCAGTTATAAAATCAATATAAAAATACCTGAAGCAGCCTATCCAAATTTGCTACATATTCACCGACTTGGTAAAATAAATAATCCGAAGGCGGCACTTCGTATAGCATCTAAAATAAAAATATGTGTTACTTTTCCAACATAAGTCTAAATTTAGTCACAAATTATGTATTAAACCTTTCCAGGTTGATATTCCAGTAACCTGATAACATTCTTCTCTGTTTCGGAAAGCGATTCTTCAGTAAAATATTTTCCATAAACGTTTTTAACAGGTTTTGGACATTTGATTCCTTGATTATCTGAAAGTAAAAATACTTGAATATACAATGATATATTAATCAACTTGCGAAGATATTCATAATTAATTCAAAAAACAAAGTTTATAATATGCGGTAAATTGAATATTTTTCAATCAAAATCGATGTTGTTCCTTTAACTTTCGAATTAAGTTTTTGAATAAAAAATAATAGCATTAATCAAGAATGCTTATAATTACGTTACCCGATCATAACTGTTTTATCATTGAAATCGATTAAAGATAAATAAATAAACCCATTAAAATAACGCTAATAAAAAAAAAACATTATTATACCATCATATTGTTAATCTGAAATTAATCAATTTACACATATTTATTTTAATAATATACATAATTTTTTTATTCGCTATGCTAAATGAAGAAAATATGTATGAATTTGCATATAAAAGCTTGTATTGGTATTCATATATAAATAGCAAATGATATTTTGAATCATTTTTTCACTTTCATTTAAGCTCATGAAAAATTCACATATAATATAATAAAATAATTTTAAATTTGTTTTGAATTCTTTTACTTTCATGCGTGTTTAACAGATCTTTTTACTATTCAATAAATCAAATATAAAAATGAGAGCAAAGCAGTATTTTGTTGATATACATATTTACTAAGATTTTAAGAGAAATTTCAGATATTTGTTATAGAAATGTATTTGTAAATATATATTCACGATTTAAGTTTCGAACTAATACAACTATAACCGATGAACAGAAAGATGACAAGAAAACGTAAACTAACTTTATTATTGAATTTTTTATATGCACCTCAATTTACACACACACACACACATATATATATATATATATATATATATATATATATTGGTATATTGGTGTATTTATATATAAATAAAATGAAATATAAAATCCGAACCCGTTTCTTCATAGTCTAGCTCAAATTATTCATACATACATGCAAAATAATATAAAATACTGCAGTGGTGTTTGCTAATTTTTTGTGTGCTTTTCTCAACTTCTAATTTCCTATTTTATAGAAATATATAGTGCATTGTTAACATACTAAAACACAAGTACTAACTAGGGAATTTAAAAAAAAATCATTTTTTAACTTGTTATCCTAATGGCATAAATATTCGATTTTAAGCCACCTAACATACTTTATGTTTTTTTAATAGATTAATTTTAATAGACATGTACTTACGGAGAAATATCATCATTTCAGTTTGTCCTTCCAAAAATGATATTTTCTTGGAATCCAATGCGTTCAAAACTTTCATAACATATCCGTGGCTCCAGTTGCTGGACAATATAGGATTGCGTACGTTCGGATCGGATTCGATGAGAAAGTTTCGATCATCGTATGCGTTTAATTCGGTAACTCCTAAGCACGATATGCCGTACAGTCGTTCGGCCAGCCTCCTGACCTGGTCCTCCTGGACGTCAGGCCTGATGCGCACGCCGGGCCTAAGGAGCTTACCGTCGTTGGCGACATCCTCCTTGGACCGTTCGCTGTTCGATTCAGTCATTTCGTGGTGCCGTCGACGATGAATACGATGAATACTGACAAAGGCAAATAAAATCAACACGATAAGTGTCCAATGATAACAACTCCCCCCATCCTATCCTATCTCGGCAGCTGTCACGCTTTCCGTACTATTTGTTCAGATCAGTTCAGTTCTACGTAACCCATTTCATTTTTCTATAGCTACGCATCTTACGATCATTTTTATATAGAGTCTTTAATATTAATACACTACGTATACGATAATATTCAGTTACACGGCTATAATTATAAAATCAGGATCATTGCAACATCCTCTTTCAGATATCATATACATATTGGATACATAATGGATTGACCTGATTTAGACTTTTAGTTCTAATAACAAATTTGAAAAATATTCTCTATAATATATAAATATTTGAAAAAAATTCTCGCTTCATACAAGAAACATAAAGCCTTATAAAGAAGCAACATGTGCTGCAATAAAAATATATTCGATGATTCATAAAAGAACAAAACCAATTAGGCATGGGTAAAATCAAATCAATCAAGAGTCAAAGATCATTCAGTCATATTATTCAAATTAATAGGTTTTGTTTACAGTTTTTGGTTGTATTTTAACTAATTAGTACTACATAGAATACAATTTTAATATTTTCTTATGAAAGACATTTAATTAATTTTGAAATTTCAATAATTTCATCTAGATTTACATCTTAAATATAGAAAATACTTGTGCAACAACTTGACCTTTAAACTGTGATTGAAAACACTCAACATTAATATCATCACATTTTAATAGTTTTGTATTTCTTTTTTAGAAAATTTTGGAATTTGGACGCAAGGCAGTTTAATTAATCAATAAAATTAATTATTTTGTGTAAAATCACAAATTTCAGTTGATATATACGAAATAAAATTCTCAAACTTCATCATCACAAATCACTTCTTAACTCGTACAAGTATTTTTCAAAGTTCAATCACTGGATTTTATTATATTAAGTGGATTACAAAGAGTGATTAAAATTATATATTCTTTAGAAACAGAACTTCATAAATACAAAAGAGTAGATAATCACAGTTCCAATTCAAATTCTTCAAAAAGATTATTCAAAGTTTAAGGAATAGATTAATATACTAGTTGTTTCTCAAATTGGCCGTTTAAATTGCAAAATTTCAAATATAGAAATGTTGAGTACGACTGGCCTATTTAATATGTTAAAAATATCACATCCAATTTGAATGTGTTAGTATATTCATATAAACGAGTATTGACATTATAGTAATGATACTAGTGAATAATTGATAAAGTACAAGATGTACTCGTGCTTTAATTCAATATTAACAATAAATTATGGTAACATGTGCAAAAGCAGATATACGCAAAAATACAATCAGGCACAGGTACACACACACACACACACACACACACATATATATATATATATATATATATATATAAGAAGACGGACAGCATGCGTAATTTTAGGCGTCAACATGCTATATGTAACCCCTCCCCTTCTTTGCAATTATTTTTTACCTTTGAGCTGAATATGTTAGAAAAGAGAAAAATCTGAAACAATGTATTCCATTAATGTATTTTCATCAAAATTTCCCTTACATTAGAAAATTTCCATGCATCATTTCGAATCGATTTTATGGGAGACAACTTTTTGACTGTTATTTAATTTTATCCCATAATTGTTGTTTGCATAGCATACACCGTAGAAAGGCTCTAACTAAAAAAGTAAATGATATTTTGTGTGATTTTTGTTTAACACTGTTTTTCTATTGTTTTTACAAGTCGCTATTTTGTAAATAAAGAATTATATAATGAACAAACTCTGTATGATGAATATTCCACAATATTTCAGAATAACAATATGAGTTTTTGCATACGACTTCGCCTGAATTTAATTATCGTGCAATTTTTTGGTAGCTAATTGCCTACATCACCGATAGAAAGAAGTTGCACATAAATTAAAGCTAAAATACATAATGCATATTATGAATTTTCGAATTTAATTTATCATAAATAAATTTGGTTTGAGATAATATACGACATTGATTATATATCTTGTTTCTTCTTATCTTTTTTAAACGATTTAATATACATATCTTTGTTTGTGATGCACAGAATTTGGGAAAGTTTATTTGTTATACAAGTCTCTCTTTACAAATCAACGATAATTCTGTGTCATACGTGTCAAAACAATAGGAAAATAATATAAATAGAAAATCAAACAAAATTTAGTTTATTTTTATCATTAGGACTTTCTACCGTATATACCTACATCATGCTTAAATTACGAAAAACGTTAGTTTCAAAGTTGACTCTCACGAATCTTTAACAATCGTCTAAAGAAGGCTAAAATCATTGTATAAAAAATATAATATTGAATGTTATAGAAAGATATGTTAAAATACTCAATGAAGGTTTACTCGAGGGTAATTTATTTATTAAACCGACATTATGAATTTTATACATTATTGTAGGATTTTAAAAATCCTTTTACTGTTACGCAAAAACGACGACGGTCAAAGACAATTATAATTGTAATAATATTAAACAAGCTAATCAAAATGTTCAATGGGTTCAAATTCTTTCACAAATGCTAGAATATCTTCAAATTTTTCATATACCCTGTTATCAGTGATTATATATATATATATATGGAGGCTTAGTCCATATTAATACCAATTGTAGTCATAATAAATTTCATAAAATATTATTTATATTTCGTTTATTTTATATATGATTAATATCCACGACACTATGTGTTGTCATACTGATCATTAATAAAACGTTATTGGTATTTTCTTATTTATAATAGAAAAGAAAGGTTTCAAGAATTATACATTTTTTTGGCAAAAACTACTAGAGAGAAACAAAAGCCGTGTCCGATCTGACACTTGAATTTATTTTTGTTTTTTTTCTGTGCTGTCAATATATGGGCCAATCTGTCCAGTAACATGTGATGCGTGTTGACAAGCCGCGATGCGTGTTGGCAACCCGCTACATCACTCCGCCCTAATGAAAAAGATTGTTTCGCATCTCTGACTGCCATTCTTGAACTTCCTTGTAAATTTCTTTTGGTTGAGATTGTGTGATAAATTGCCGTGTTGGCTTGTTGAGTTTGTTGATTGCTTACGTGGCCCTTCGCTGGTGAGTTAGCGGTTGAGTACATGTGGCCCTTCGCTGGTGAGTTAGCGGCTGAGTATATTTGACACTTCGCTGGTGAGTTAGCGGTTGATTGTATGTGGCCCTTCGCTGGTGAGTTAGCGGTTGATTGTATGTGGCCCTTCGCTGGTGAGTTAGCGGTTGATTGTATGTGGCCCTTCGCTGGTGAGTTAGCGGTTGAGTGTATGTGGCCCTTCGCTGGTGAGTTAGCGGTTGAGTGTATGTGGCGGTTGCCAAATTGTTTGCTCCCTGTCTGTTGCCATGGTGCTTATTATCGACTTATTTACCATGATAATAAGTGATTTATTGAGCACGTGTTATTGTTGATCTTGAAGTGCGTGGTCGGGGTCTCAGTTGTAGGATTAGAATGTTCTTCTAGTTATGGCGGTTGTGAGCCATTTATAATAATTATTTATATTTTTAAAAATTCTTTTCTTAGTAATTCTTGAGACTTCAATTTATTTTTTTTGTGCTACTTCAAAATATGTCTTGATCTTCTTACCTTCTTGTATGTGTGTTACTAGTTCACTCTCGGGGTCACCAAAATATGGAGGTGTAGTAGTCCTCCATATTAATACCAATATTGTGCAAATTGTAGTAATAATAAATTCCATAAAATATTATTTATATTTCGTTTATTTTATATATGATTAATATCCACGACACTATGTGTTGTCATACTGATCGTTAATAAAACGTTATTGGTATTTTCTTATTTATAATTGAAAAGAAAGGTTTCAAGAATTATACATTTTGGCAAAAACTAATAGGGAGAAACAAAAACCGTGTCCGATCTGACACTTGAATTTATTTTTGTTTTTTTTCTGTGCTGTCAATATATGGGCCAATCTGTCCAGTAACATGTGATGCGTGTTGACAAGCCGCTATGCGTGTTGGCAACCCGCTACATATATATATATATATATATATTATAAATTTAATAAATATCTAATACTATATACAATATGTTGATAAATATAAAATACGCCTGAAAAAACGACTAACAGAAACTTATTTGCATCACAGATTTTTAGTGAGCAATGAACATAAAATGAAAAGATTATCGCGTTACTATTTTTTGAGTTTGATTCTTATTTTTAATATGAGTTGTTTTTATAGTTTAATCTCTAGTTTATTAATTGAGCAAGCAACAAACGACATTAAGCTAATAACTTAAATATACAGCTGCGGGCGGTCATCTAATTTTAAGGGGGAACAGATCGAGGTGTTGCGCAAAAAAGAAAAGTTCTGAAAAGTCGAGGAGGCGTTGAAGGAGAAATTTTAAAAATAGAATATATATATATATATATATATATATATATATATATAATAGTCTACAAAAAGTAAGGAAAAGCATTTTGGCAAACCACTAATAATGATAAAATATTTGCAAACCATGTCATCGTGTAGCATTTGGATATTTTCATTTGCCGAGCGGATGGAGCGATTAAAGCATTCGTTCGAATGGCATATCTAATTTACGGACATAAAACCTATGTTCACACACACACAGACGTTTATATATATATATATATATATATATTTTATTTGTACTTATTTCTGCTAAAAACGCATTCACAAAAAGCATGCGAACTTTGCAATTGTATTCGTTGTAATTTGTAAAAACACATTTCATAGCCGTTTTCCTTCGGGATGTTAAAGGTATAATCATTTACTTTTAGTGAAAATGAAAAACATACCTAAAATTTTTTTCATTTTTTTTAATATTTTTACTTACATAAATATGTATCTGAATTATTTACAATAATTTTACAGTTTACTATATCGCTCCTACCAACGTAGATTTTTCTTACTTTATTAAATAAGTACTCGCCAAATTG